AGATAATTTAAATGTCTTCATTTTTCTGTGGTGAGTGATGGCCATCAAACACGTGTGCTCTACACATGTTTGAATGGAACGGACAAACAAAAGGGAAACCCAGAGTCTTTTTGGCTTGGTCTGTGGCCTGAAGGGACAGCATGTGCCCGTATCCACTAGATATTACTGAGACAGCCACTAGCTGATGGCCTTGTGGCTTTGGTTTTTCTTATTTTATTTTTAGAGGGGAAGGGAGAGAGAAAGAGAGGGAGAGAAACATCAGTGTGTAGTTGCCTCTTGCTCATCCCCCACTGGGGACCTGGCCTGCAACCTAGGCATGTGCCCTGACTAGGAATCGAACCAGTGACCCTGTGGTTTACAGGCTGGCATTCAATCCACTGAGCCACACCAGCCAAAGTGTGGCTTTGATTTTTGTCATCTCTAGAAGGTGATGAAATGTGTGTCCTTCTGCACTTGGTGTCTAAAGGCAAATGGGGCCCGTGTATAGGAATGCTGGTGGCCTTCTGGGAAGGCACTCAGTCTTTTTTTGGTGGTTATTTACCTCTTGTCCTCCAGGTCACCTGGGCACCAATAAGTAGGGCAGAGTCAGAATCCCTTGGGCAGAGAGGAGGTGAACCATCTGAGCTCCAGTGCCCCTTGACTGGTGACAAGAAGCAGGGGACAAGGGCGTGGATTTGTTTTAGCTGCCATGTTTGAGGATGGCTGTGTTGAGGCTCTGAGGTTGTGGCCTCCCGGAGATTGCCTCATTGCTGGGCTGAAATCGTGGCCTCTGGCAGGCCCTGCAAGTGTGGCCACAGAAGGATTTCTGATGCCAGGAAGCCTTTGCATGTAGATCACTGTGTGTGAACAGCCACCCTTTGTGACCAGAGATGACACCACGATTATTGATTGCCATCGCTGTCCTGGTGCTGCGGGAGGGGAGGCGCCCTGTGAGGGGCTGAGACACACAATGAGCTTGGAGTCAGCAGGTTTGAGCCCAGCTCCACCATCACCAGCCTGGTGACGTCTGAGTCTAATTTCCCCCACGGGAAGTGGGGGCAGGATCTGCCCCACCTCGATGAGTTGTAGGAAAATTGGGCTGCGGCATTGCCTTGGGGGCGTGGAGGAGGAGCTGGTAGCGTGGTGGTGGCCTCTGCTCTCATTTCATCCTTGTGTCTTCCTTCTGTTTCTCTCCTCAGTCGCCTCTTCTTCCCCCTTTCTCCCTCTTCATAGCTCTGCCTGCTCTTTTTGGTTCCGAAGTGTGCACACGCACAGACACATACAGTGTGCACGCAGCACACACCATACACACGTGCATGCAGACGTGCCCCTAAGCACAACACAAGTACACCCGTGTACCCACACATGCGCACACCCATGCACACTTCGGGGCTGTTATCAGTTCCATTTGATGGACCCATTTCTCCTAAAGTTCCTTTTCAAAAAATGTGAGCAATTCAAAAACATAGGAAAGTATAGAGAATGACATAGGGAACGCCCTCCATTCAGGATTCACAGTTGACATTCTCCACGTTGCTGTCTCTCTCCCTCACATTTCTCCTGCCGCTCCTTGGACCCAGGCACTTCCTTCTCTGTCCAGTTCATGCTCCTCTGTGTGGAGGTGCCCCACGTCTGAGCTGTGGGGCTGCTTTATGAGCTGTTTTCAAAACTTGTCTGCGTGAGTCCTGTTGCCTTGTGGTCCCATCTTGTCATTGCCACAGTGACTTATCTCGCCACTATTTGTCAATTTCCTTGTTGAGGAACATGTAGGTGGTTGCTACTTTTTATGCTTGAGAGTCTTTTATCAATCACCATATTGTATGTCTCTGCAACCAAAATATGTACATAAATTGAAATGAGAATTTTTCTCCGAGTTTGTGGGCATTACAAATACTCAATGAATGAAAGCAACACAAATATTACAGTTTTTATAAATAACAAGCATCAGTGCTAGAAAGCACTGGACGTGTATCTCTTAAATAGATGGGTTCCGTCCCTGTGCTCCCCTCCCCCACCAGTGAGTTCGTGTAGTCGTAGTTGAATATAACCTGTTGCTGGAATGAGACAGGTCAGTGTCAGGTCTAGTTCTGTGTTTCACTTCAGGTTGAGAAACTGTTCACGTAAATCAGTAGATGGGAATGACCATGGGTGTGATAGAGCAGTAGCTTCAAATTCCAACTTACGTGCCAACAAATATGAGGATCACATACAGATCCAATACCCCCAAAGTAGTTGATGATTTACAAGGTGACAACGTGGTCAAGTCCCTCCAGTTTCTAATAACAGCTTTACTGAGCTAAAGTTCACACACTGTTAAAGTCACCCTTTTGAAATGCACAGTTCACTGATTTTCCCAGAACATGGTCCATTTTATGATATTATAGCCACTGTTGTTACACATATCCTTGTCCCATCTTCAGTCTTTTAAAAGTAACTTTCCTGTTTTATTTTTTATTTTTATTTTATTTTTTTTAAAGATTTTATTTATTTATATTTATCTTTAGAGGGGAAGGGAAGGAGAGAGGGAGAGAAACATCAATATATGGTTGCCTTTCGTGCGTCCCCTGCTGGGAACTGGCCTGCAGGGAACCTGCCTGCAACCCTGGCATGTGCCCTGACTGGGAATCGAACCGCGATTGTCTGGTTCGCAGGCCCGTGCTCAATCCACTGAGCTACACCAGCCAGGGCAACTTTCCTGTTTTAAAGTAATATAGGTTAGTTGTAAAAATGCATAAAATAGAGTTAAAGTAAAAAAAAGTAATACTCATCCATTGCCTGTTAATCCAGAGCTTATATTTTGTAGCATTTACACCTCTGAAGTTATTAAAATTTAAAACTGCACCAAGCCCTGGCTGGTGTGGCTCAGTGGATTGAGTGCTGGCCTGCAAACCAAGGGGTCATTGGTTCAATTCCCACTCAGGGCACATGCCTGGGTTGTGGCCCAGGTCCCCAGTGAGAGGCAACCACACAGTGATGGTTCCCTCCCATTCTTTCTCCTTCCCTTCCTCTCTAAAAATAAAGTCTTAAAAAATTTGTAAAAAAAAACTGCACCAAGATGCGGGGGCCTCCTGTGTATAGTCCATCAGGTCATGGAAAGTGCTCCGGAGAAGAATAAAGCAGAGAAGGGGAATGGGGGAGGTTGGGCAGCAAGCAGGGTGAAGGAGTGGAAGGTGTACATTTAGCATGGAATGATCAGAAAGGCCTCGCTGGGAAGGAAAGATGAGGGAAAGGGCCAGGGCAGAACTCTTGGGGAAGAACATAAGCAGATGAAGCAGCAAGTGCAAGGGCCCTGGGGTATGAATGGGTTAGCAGGTCTGCATTGTACAGGGCCTTGCAGTCCATGAGGAAGAGTTTAGCACTTACTGCAGTGTGGTCAGGAGGTCATCACAAGTTTCTGAGCTGTGGAATACGGGGAGTAGACTTTAGGGCTCAGCGAGAGCAGGGAGACTGGTGGGATGGGTTACAGTAACTGAGACACAGGAGGAGATGCTGGTGGCTTTGACCAGGGTGGTGGCCCTAGAAACATGTTAAGAGTCAGGAGCCCAAGAGGGAAAAGGAGTAAAGTCCCTTGTGTTAATTATTTCTTACTGAATAACAAATTGAAATTTTAGCTGTTTATAACAGTAAATGCTTATTATCTCACAGTTTCTGTGAGTCTGGAATTTGGGAGTGACTTAGCTGGTGGTTTTGGCTCAAGGTCTCTCATGAGTTTGCAGTCAAGCTGTGTGCTGGGCTGCAGGATCTGCTTCTCGGGTGGCTTTCTCGTGTGGCTGCAAGTTATTGCTGGCTGGTGGCTGAAGGAGTCGGTGTCTTGCCACGTGGACCTCTCCATGGGGCAGGTTGAGTGTCCTTACAGCGTGGAGGCTGGCTTCTCCCAGAGCCTGGGAAGTCCCGCTTCATCTTTTCCACAGTGTCCTGCTGGTTACACAGGTCAGCCCTGGTCAGTGTAGGAAGAGTCTACAGAGGAGGTGAGAACCATGGGGGCCTTTTTGGAGGAGGTCGGCCCTCATCCATTTTTTGCCTATGGAGGGGGAACTCTGGGAACTAGTGGGACATAACATAGTTGGACCTTTAATGTCCCAGGATATGACGTGGGATGAGTTTGGAGCAGGAGCCTCAAGGCCGGGGACCTGCCTCCCACCTGGAAGGCCTTGCAGGGACAGCCTGGCTTCCGTGCTTGATTCTGCCTTTTTCTGAGCCTTCTCTCCAGATGATGAGTTCCAGCCTCAGGACTCTCAGGGTGGGGTGGGGGTGGGGAGTCAGATATGAATGGAATAATAACTCAGACTTGGAGCTTGGATTTGGGCTGAGGGGAGCTGACTTAGTCTCGGGTCAGGGAATGTGTATTAGTCTGCTAAGTCTTAACATAAGCAGCAGAAACCAGGTGGCTTAAAACAACAGACTTTATTCTGATAGTTACAGACGCTGGAAGTCCAAAACCAAGGTGTTGACAGGGCTGGTTCTTCCTAAAGGCTCTAGGGAGGACCCTTCCTCGCTTCCAGATTCTGGTGGCTCTGGGCGTTCCTTGGCGTGTAACCATGTCACTGCAGTCTCTGCCTCCATCTTCACACTGCCTCCTCCTCTCTCCGTGTGCCTCTGTCCAAATCTTCCACTTTCTCTAATGAAGAATGGTAACTAGATTCAGAGTGTACCCCACTGTAGTCTGACCTTCCCTTGTTTACATTGGTAAAGACCCTGTTTTTGAATAAGGTCACATGCACCTTTACCAGGGTTTAGGTCTGGAACATATGCTTGTGGGAAACACAACTCAACTTGCTAGGGAAGGAAGCGATGTTGGAGCTGAGTGCTAGATGCGTGCCTGAGCAGCGGGAGAGGTCCTGGAGCGGGGCGGGTGTTGGGGTGGATGCAGAGGTGGGCGGGCTGGGGCCTGCCCTGCAAGTGGGAGGCGTGGCCCATGATGGCGCTTTCCTCAGGGTTGAGCCTCTTCAGCCATCCGATGCTCCCACTGGATTGTGGTAAGTCTTAATCTACAGCTGTGTTTTGTTTTGTTTTTTAACCAGGAAACTATTTCGCTTCACACTTTTTCATGGGAGGTGAGAAATTCGACACCCCCCACCCTGAAGGTTACCTTTTCGGAGAAAACATGGATCTGAACTTCCTGGGCAATCGCCCAGTCCAGGTGGGTCTTGTGGGGCTGGGCGTGTGGGCAGTGGAGGCAACGAGACCTCGGCCTTCAGCCATCCGTGTCCCGGCTACAAGGACAGGTGGGCACTGAGTTACCCCAAACCGGGCAGAGCTGCCAGCCAGATGTGTGCCCATGATGTGTGCATGCAGCATGTCCTGGTGGTGCCCCGTTAGAGGACGGGGGACCTAGGGTGGGTCGCTGGGGGCAGAGCACCTGCTATGGAACCCGGTGCATCCATGCTCTGGGCTTGCGGAAGGTTATGGCTTTGATCCCAGGCCTCGTGGACAACTTATTTTGAAAAGAAGAAAAAGAACATCCGTGTTCCATGGAACAGTGAACAAGAGATATGATCCGAAGGAGAAATGCAAATGGCTGGTGAACAGTTTTTATGAGCACCTTATCAGTCACCAGAGAAGTACATGTTCACGTGTTGCATTCCATTTGTTCAGTGCACATTTGGCACTTACTGTGTTCCAGGGGACAGAGGACAGACCCTGCCTGCTTCTTAGCACAGCATGCAGACAGTAAAGAGGACAGTTGACAAATGGAGACTGAAAAGAGAGAGAGGGACAGGAGAGGGCCCCTTTGGGGGGACGCTGAGTGGGAATTCAGTCCCCAGTGTGAGTGAGAGGCCAGGCTGGAGGTCCTCTCTCTCAGAGGCCCTGGGCCCCATTCCCTGAGGCTGTCGACTCTTGGTGTTTCCCTGGCCTAGGGTGTGAGGTCCCCTGGACCAGGGAGGGTTCTCTAGGCTGTTTCAACCATCGAGCAGCTAGTTGACACCCAATCTTGATCCTAATGGATGAGAGGCTAGAGACTAGGGCCCAGAGGGCTGGCCTCCACCACCCTCCCAAGTCCATGAGAATGAGAACAGAATCTTGCCGTCCACATCTTTGAAGCCTGAGCTTTGACCCAGGGCCTGGCTCATATAGGCCTCCTATAAATCTTTTTTTTTTTTTTTAACTTCAAGACCACCATAGATTCACCTGCAGTTGTAAGAAATTATACAAAGAGCCCTGGCTGGTGTGGCTCAGTGGATTGAGCGTCAGCCTGCAACCACAGGGTCACGGGTTCAATTCCCATTCAGGGCACATACCTAGGTTTCAGGCCAGGTCCCCAGTAGGGGGCGCATGGGAGGCAGCCACACACTGATGTTTCTCTCCTTTTCTTTCTCCCTCTTTCTAAAATAAATAAGTAAAATCTTTTTAAAAAGAAAAGAAATAATGCAGAGAGATCCCGTGTGCCCTTTCCCTGGTTTTCCCTGGTGATGGTGCCACATAAAACTCCATTGTGTTCTCACAAGCAGGAATTGATACTGATGCATCCACGTGTTCCATATGCCGCCAGTTTTACATCATTTTCTGTACGTGCACATGACCCTCCCTGTATCTTTTGACCATCGACCTAGAATGGAAAGGTTGCCGGGTTCAGGGCAGTGGTGGGACGTCGAGTCCCCCCTTCTGGGAATGAGGCTCGAGAGCCCCAACCTTGATTCCCCCCCAGATCCCTCAGGCCAGGTCACATGCACTGAGAGTCCTTCCTGGAACAGAGGGACCATGGCCACGTGACCGGAACCCTTCAGGGTGTTCTGGTTCCAGGCTGCCTTGTGCTGGCCATGTTGCCTGCAGTTTACTTTGATGTGAATGGGGATAATGTCATCCAGTGCTCGGCATGAGGGCCCTGGAGCACCTGGCGGGGGCAGGGCTTGGACTGTCCCTGTTTTTTGCCCTCCGCCATGTGGGGGAGTCATCTGGGATTGCATTGGGTTTTTCCCTCCTAGTTTCCTTATGTCACTCCTGCCCCCCACGAGCCGGTGAAGACGCTGAGGAGCCTGGTGAACATTCGAAAAGACTCACTCCGGCTCGTAAGGTAACCCTGGACCCCACCGCATTCTTTAAAGTAGTGGCTCTCACCTGGTGACTTGTACTCCATTGATGCTGGGCTGTATCTGGAGACCTTTTTGGTTGTCACAGCTACCACTGGAGGTGGTAGTGTCCCTGGTATCTAGCAGGCAGACACCAGGGAGGTTGCTGGGCGCCCCACAGTGCACAGGATGCCCCCACAAGAATGATGCAGGTCTGACTGTCACGGTTGAGAAACTACTGAGGCTTCTGGGGCCATCTCTAAACCAAGAGAATTTATCTCTTTTCCTGGGGTAGGAGAACCCTGCATTGTTGAGCCTTATTGTCCAAACAGGGAGTGGGTCTCCATGTTTCTGGAAGGGTGTGATGCGGCCAGGCAGCCAACTCAGGGGCCGCTCAGGGGATGGTGTGCACTGTGCAAGGTGGGCGTGCCCCCTGACCTACTGCCTGTTCCTCTGGCTCCCTGGCAGGTACAAAGATGGTGCCGACAGCCCCACCGAGGACAACGAGAAGCCCCGTGTTCTCTACAGCCTGGAGTTCACCTTCGATGCTGATGCTCGGGTGGCCATCACCATCTACTGCCAGGCGGTGGAGGAATTTCTAAATGGGATGGCTGTGTGAGTCCCCGTGGTGCAGGCTAGGCCCAGGGTGGCAGGCGGGGCCCCAGTAGCTGTGCATTTGCCTGAGTTATATATTTGAGCTTTCAGAGACTTTATTTGAAATGAGGGTCATTTGGCCCCCAAAAGTTCGAAATCTGCAACTTTGGCTACAGGCCTGCCTGCAGTCTGTGGGGCCAGACCCGGGTGAGAGGGAAGAAATGCCCTGTCTCCGTCCTGTGGGAGAAACCACTTGGAGGCCAGATTCGATCTGAGGATGGAGTAGTGGTGGAAAGCTGTGGCCTTGAGTCTTTTTGCACACGAGCAACTCACAGAGCCAGTTTCTCAGGCCAGACATGCCAAGGTCCTTGAGAGTACCCTTTGTCCTGGAGAGAGACAGACAGAAGCCCAAGGGAGAGCAAGTGTGGGGTGGGGTGGAGGGGGGAGGGCAAGAGTTGTGTGTTGGATTCCTCAGTGGGGAGATGAGCACGTGTGTTGGGATTGGAAATGTATGTACTCTTTGATCCAGCTGTTCCTTATCTGGAATTCATTTTGGGGATGTAGTTGCATGTGTGGCTAAGAGGTATGCAGAAGAGGGTCCTGGAAGCACTGTTGGAAAAGCAAAGATACTGGAGACACCCGGTGTCCACCACAGGGGCCTGACTGAGTCCGAGTCAGACTGCCGTGGGACCAGTGCTGTGTTCAGAGGACGCAGCATCTCTACATGTGGTGGCTGCGGGACAGCTCGGGTGTCTGAGTAATAAAGGAGCAGAGCATAGGCAGCTGCTCTGGAAATATTAAAGAAGAGACACATGTATACAGGTGTAAATGTGCCTCAGCTTCCCCAGGAGTGATACTTGGGTTGTGGCTGGACAGAGAAGCAGCAGGTGGCTGGGAGCAAACAGGAAGGTGCAGGGGTGGTGGGGAGGGCACTTGGTACTGTGTACATTTTTGTACCACGTTTCTTCAGAAAAGTCAACAAACCGTAAAAAAAGCCATATCTTAAAAGGTAGCCAGGTTATCTGGTAGGTGTGGGCTCTGGAAGACTCATAAAACCAGGCTGGACCTAGGCAGAGCTGGCGGTGAGCAAAATGAGGCCTGGGAGGTTCTCCGGGTGTGAGAGGCTGGCTTCCTGCCCCACCAGAGAAGGGCTGGGACTTGGAGGGTGGGACCTGCAAGTCAGGTTTCTACTAGGTGCCCAAAAGACCAGCGCCTGCCAGCCCCTGCCTCAGTGGTCCTACGACAGTGGGGTTGCCCTGAGGTTGGGATACAGCAGAGCGTTTTCTCCTGGCAGAGTCTCACCATCCTTTCTCTCGGCTACCCCTTCAGGTACAGCCCCAAAAGCCCTGCCCTGCAGTCTGAGACCGTCCACTATAAGAGGGGGGTGAGCCAGCAGTTCTCCCTGCCCTCCTTCAAGATTGACTTCTCAGAGTGGAAGGACGATGAGGTAACCTCCTGGCTGGACCCCCTTTTCCCCCGGCTCCTTGCCTGAATTTCCTCCTCTTTGTGGTGGCAAGCACAGTGGGCTCTGTTTGCTTAGATTCTTCACACGGCTGATAAGCTACAGGAGTGGCTGCCGACCAAGGGGTGTGTGCTCATTTGCGCATGCGCCGCACTGTGGAATGCGGTTCAGTCCAAGTGTTGGGCTGGACTGGGTGACTGAGGTGAGACGGCAGCAGCCGAGGCCCTGGTGCCCAGCTTTGGTGCAGCTACAGTCTCAGGACCATGAGACTGCGGCATGGCAGGGTCCCTTCCACCTAGTGGTTCCATAGCTAGGGACAGTAATTTATGGGATGTGAAGGGCGTTCATCCAGCTCTGTCTGTAATAGTGAACATTGGAAACAACCTACACGTCCATCACTGGTGTTATGGGACCCACCCATGTATATAATGTGGGCACCCTGTTTCGCATTTATTATGGGATGCCATGCAGCTTTAAAGTGTGTGAAAGACTTCTTTGTGTACTGTGCTGACTGACGTGGAAAGCCCCTTCTGGGCTCGGAGAAGAGCAGGTTGCAAACGAACGCAGTATGATCGCATGTGTGTGGCAGACAGGACAGTGCACAAAACCATTTCCGCAGGTACGATGTGTGTATATAACCTTGAGGGAAAACCAGAAAAGATACTCATCAAGCTGAACACAGGGTGTTTCTGCAGAGGGCTGTGGTGTGAGGAAGAGAGTTGTATAACACATCACTCATGTGTGGTCGGCCCTCTGTATCCCTGGGTTCCTCATTCACGGATTCAACACGGATAAAAATATTCTTATTTTTATTTTTATTTTTTAGTTATATTTTATTCATTATGCAATTACAGTTGTTCCAATTTTGAAAAATATTTTTTAAAAAATGTCACGTTGCTGGTGTGTGCTACGTAGTTAGTCCACTGTTGGGACGTACATGCCTGAACACATACAGGCTTTATTTTCTTGTCATTACTCCCTAAACAATACAGAATAACAACCATTATGTAGCTTTTATGTTGCATTAGCTATTGTAAGTAATCTAGAGATGATCAGCAGTGTGTGGAGGACGTGTGCACGGTGTGCGAACACCGTTTTATGTGTGGGAACATCAGGGTTTCAGTGTCCTGTTTATTGGCTTAGATTCCGAAAAGCCGGATGGCTCATGGTTTCCTCTAGGGCCATCAGAGCGGGGTCTGCCCTGGCTGAGCCAGCCTTGCCCTCGGGCTGGCTCTCTGTACCCCAGCAGCCTGGGTCCCAGAGTGTGCGGATGGTCTGTCTAGGCCATGTGACTCCCTCTGTGGTCCCCCTTGAGACAGGCTCATGCCATTCTCTGGCCAGACAAGCACAGATCCAGGGTTGGACAGAGGTTGTTCCCAAATGCCCCAAGGAAAATTGGGGTGCCAACACCTGAAAAAGGTCATGAATTTTTTTTGTGGGGTCTCGACAGATCTGGACCTATGGGTCGGACTTTATAAGAGCAAAGTCTTAAGGACAAAGTACCAGGGATGTCCTGGGGCCTCTCCCAGGAACTGAGAGGACATAGGCGGGTGAGGCCTGGGGGCAGCTCTGGCTCCTGCACTCTCTCCATGAAGCACTGGGCGAGTGACGCTACCTCCGCAAGCCTGGGTTTCCCATCTGTCACCTGGAGGTAGGAGCATTTCCTTGCTTTAGGGTGTCCATCAGGTTTGTGCAGAGCCCCGTCTGCCAGGGCCACAGGAGGAGAGAAGGGCCAGAGTCCCTACCTTCTGACAGTATAGCCACCACGCACACCTCCCAAGGCTGCTGTTAGTTCAGCACCGGTGTGGTGGGACTGTCAGCTGCACTGAGGCAGCGCCAGCTTCGTGTGCAAAGGAGAAAGATAGTGCAGATCACTCAGTGGCTCCTCAGCACTAAGTCTCCCAGATCAGCATCAAGGATTATATTCCAGCAGCTGGACTGAAAGCACAGGGCCTAAGATGCACACAGCTCTGCTCCCTCTCTGGCTCTGTCACCTGAGCAACTCCCTCCTCAGCTTAATTACAGCCTTTGGAAGAGCAGCACCTGTGCATCACACCCAGCATCACTGTCAACAGGGTGACTTCGGGATGGTCACTGGCAAGATGGCTCCCTGTGCCCTGGCTCAGAGGGGGAGGAATAAGCTTGCAGAGGGACCCTTGTCCCCCAGACATGTAACTCCTGTCTTGGGTGATCACCTGACCCTAGAGTCATCTCAGAGCAAGGCAGGATGGCAGAAGGGAGGTCCCTCCCTCCCATAAGGCCAGATTTCTGTGGTACGGCCCTTTTACCTTGAAGCTGTGGGGAGCACGAGGCCTGGCTATGTTTTAGGTGGGCCTGGATATGTCCCCCACTCCCCACATGTAGCTCTTATGCACATGTCTGCCCAAAGTCCTGTGTTCCAGGGGTCCAAGCCCTGGGTCTTTTTGTGAGGTCCTTCTTGGCTTCCCCTGCCTGACCACAGAGCTTCGAATGGCTGGTGCTCGCTGCATGCTCTCCTGGGCACCATGCTCAGGGCTTGGCATCAGACACAGCTTTTATCCCTTTTGCATTAGGGGGAACTGAGGCTTGGGGCAGGCACCTCTACTCCGGCAGATCTGAGTCTGAGTCTGTCCTAGCACCTGACCACTCTCCCTCCCCCTCCCAGTCCTGCCTCCCACTGACGGCTCGGGATCCACCGGCACTTTCACGGCCTGCCAAGCGCAGCCCCCGCTGTGGGTGTCCTCAGTTGGTGTCCTCGGTCCTCTGTGGGCTCCGCGTGACCTGGTCCACAGCCTCCACTGGGGAGCAGATCTGGAGACCATGCCCCAGCGAACACGTGTGGGGAGGAGAGTAGCCTTCAGCCTCAGAGCAGCCAGGACCACAGGGCTGGAGCTGGAGGGAAAGGAAAGGGAACAGGCAGTTTGTTCTTGAGTTCAGACCAGCTGCGTGGTCTCCTTCGATTCCCTTCCGTCTCCGCACTACGTCCCTTCGTAAGGTGGAACAGAGTTCCCATGTGACGCGGCCCTTCCCCCCTGGGTGCACCAAGGAGAACTGAAAAGGGGCTCACACAGGTGTGTGTCCAGCAGTGTTCGTCACAGTGCTGGGCGTGGTGGCCGAGAGGGAGAGCAGCCCAGGTGTCCACTGAGAAATGACCGGATAAACCGTGTGGTCTAGCCACGCAGCAGAATTTTACCCGGCCTTGAAAAGAAAGGAGGAACTGACGTACTGTCACGTGGGTGAGCCTAGAAAACACAGTGAGTGGCAGAAGCCAGGCACACGAGACACATTTCATTGATTCCGTTTCCGTGAAATGTCCAGAACAGGCAGTGGGCGTGATTGCTTAATGGAGACAAGAGTTCCTGTTTGGGACGATAAAAACGTTCTGGAAATGGACGGTAGTGATGGTGGCATTACCTTATGAATATTCTTAGTGCCAGTGAATTGAACACGAATTTACCATTTTAATCATTTTTATGTATTTTACCTACCACAAAGAGAGGAAGCCGCAGCCAGGCCTCTGTCTTCCTCACAGTTTCCCTCACAGTTTTGTCTGTCTTCCCCTCCCCGTCCCTTCTCCCTCTAGCTCAGTCTGACCGTCTCACCTCCTTTTTCCCCTCAGTTGAACTTTGACCTGGACCGGGGAGTGTTTCCGGTGGTCATCCAGGCCGTGGTGGATGAAGGAGATGGTGAGCGGCCTTGCTTCTTCATTCTCCCTTCCAGTGTGCGGACCCTGCAGGAAGAATCCACTTCCTGACAACCTCGTCCCCCTCAGTCAGCAGAAAGGAGTTTATCCAGAATTGATGAAGGGTGTGGGAGTCTTGTTAGCAGGTTTAGGGTTGTGGGGCTCAAGCAACTAGCTCTCCATCTCCTCTCTGGGGCTCTGTTGGTGCTTCCTGCACCTGGGGTTGTGGGGCCTCATTCCAGCTCAGGAATTCCTGGCCAACCTGTACCCACACCCCCCAGTGGCAAGGCCCTATGGCAGCTTTGCTTTCACTGTGGTAACAGCAGCTAGACAGGCCTCCAGTTCTGGTGTCCACCCCATGGTGAAATGAGGGAGACAGCAGGGACCTGCAGGGAGCTTGTTAGATAGGCCCTCCTCAGGCCGTGCAGATTTCCTCACTGACCCAGCCAGTCCTGCCAGGTCTCTCTCCCACCTCTGGACTTCAGATCTCTAGCCTACGGTGTGAATTGGGGAGCTCCGCCAGGTCGGGCTGGTCCCCAGGCCCACTGGTGGAGTCTGGCTCCTTGGCCCTGCCTGAAATGTCCTTCCTGTGCAGAGTGAGACAGCAGGTGCCGAGTCAGCCTCGAGCAGTTGAGTGGCTGCTTCGGAGGAGGAGTGAGGTGAGAGCTAGAGGGAGGCAGGAACCCCTGGGCAGAGGAAGGCAAGATGAGGAGGAGCCCTCCAAAGGTTGGAGGCCTGCAGGCTGAGAGCACGGGAAAGCATCTGCTGAGAGGAAGGAGAAAGAAGCTGGGGGGGGGGGGGGGAAGGCAGCACTCTGAGTGCTCTCTCTTCTCTCTCCTGGGCAGTTGTGGAGGTGACTGGTCACGCCCATGTGCTGTTGGCTGCCTTTGAAAAGGTAAGTGCCATCCTGCACCTTGACCTGGGAGCCATGGGCAGAGAGGTGGTGTTTTGAGACCAGGAGTCTGGGGATGACGCCAGGCTCGGGGCACATGGAAGGTTCTCCGGTTGGCCCGGCTCCAGGGGAGATGATGCGTCTCAGGAGGCTGGGCCTTCAAGTCTAGCATTACCATCAGGGGGCTTTTCAAGGGCTTACGGTACGTGGTGAGGGCATGTTTCGGGGAGGCTCGCCCAGTAGAAGTCCCTGTAATCTGCCAGCACAGGGGCAGGATTCCCACATGGAGGGCTCTGGTCAGACCAGCTTTCCTCTGGGATTTAAAGGGATCCTGCGGGGACACCGGCTCCTATGGCTGTGACCTTTCCCCTCAGACCCAGCATCCTGGGAATCATCAGAACTTCTCAGCCCTCACCTGGTCCTCAGATATTCACAGGTGGCCCTGCCTTGCCTCCAGAAGTGTGCATCGCCCTGGTCACCTGGGGCTGGGCAGATCTCCCTCCCTCCTGGGGCCTTCCTGACCTTTGGGCAGACATTTGTTGAAGTCATCTGAGGTCTGAGGGCAGAAAGGCCCCTGGTTTGTTGTATCCTCAGCACCAAGTAGGTGCCCAGTGAGTGCTGGTTGGATGGACGAGGACCATGCGTCTGTGGGTGGTGGAGGGAAAAGACACCCCGTCTCTGCTGAGGGCCCCAGCTGGGGATGCCCCATGCGTAAAAGAGGCCATTTACATGGAAGGATCATTTAATATTACCTTTAGCTAGTGTTAACATGTATTTAACTTAGGTGTTTGCCGCTTCTTTCCACAGACCCAAGTCTTTAGGCTGTGTTTACAGGATGCATTCATTGGTGGTTAGGATGGTCTGCCAGTCCACTGTCTCTGTTAGGACATTGCTGGGTCTAGAGTTGGTCCCACTCTTCTGTCACTCCTGGTCCTGGGGCCAGACAGTTCTGTGTGTCCGTCCAGGCAGCGAGTGATGCCTGGCTGTGTTGGAACAGGGTGCCTGCTCACCAAGACCCTTACAGGAGGTAGTGGGACTTGTCCTGCGTTTGAAGATGTCATGCCTGCCACCCCCTCCCCCCAGTGCTCTGTGATGTGGGTTGGCCTCTGCAGTTGTATAGTGTTTTCAGCGCCAGCCTGTGGCCTACACGGATGAGCATCAAGGACTGCACAGGGAAACCAGGCTCGGACTGCTTATCCTGGAATTCCCACCACTCCTGGGCGTCCTGCTGACCCCCGGCATCTTCAGCTGGTGTGCGTGTGTGCAGCCCTGAGAGCCCTGAGTGCAAAGCCTGGCCCATTGCTATGGTCTGGGGTGTCCGGAGACCCCAGGAGTCATCATAGCTGGGCCTGTGGCCTTTCTGGCCCATTGGTCCAGTGCTTCCCTTGGCCTTCTGGGGTTGTGGTGGCACCAAGCGCCCGGGCCAGAGATCGGCCCTCTGCCACTCCAGTTCTGGGATTTCAGCTCTGCTCCCCGAACCTGGTCTGTTGGAAGAGATAGTAACTGTTTACCCATCTGCTTCTCTGGCCAAGGTGGATGAGCTGTCTCTGGCAAACATTGTGTGCTTCCAATTTAGAGCCCAGTGACAAACTGCGTATTTTTGGAGTCTAGCATACTAGAAACTTCTGTAGGAGCTGGTCAGCGTTACCAGAAGATGCCAAGTGCTCATCTCAGGTAACTCAGGAAACTGGCATTGTTACAAGGTCTCAGATCCCGTCCACTCTGAGCAGTGTGTCTGCCCAGGTACCACTGAAGGCTTGGCTCTGTTTTGTTCTTGGTTTTTAGACCTTTGTATGCATGCACATATTCTTGTGCTGTGTTCGTGACTAGACCAAGCTCTCTGAGGACCAGATCTGGTGTCCATTTCTTGCTGTCCAGTTGCTGCTGCTTGCCATTGGGGAGGCTCTTGTCCATCATCAGAACTTGACTGGTGGTAGTGAACTTGAGTATGCCTGAGATCTACCAAGGAGAGTTTGGTTTTGTAGGTCAGGGTGGGACCCAGGAGGCGGTATCTTTAGAAGGTTCTCTGGGTAGTGTCGAGGGCAGGTCAGAGGCCAGATTTGAGAAAAACTGGCCTGGCTCTTCAGTCTTCACATGGTCCCTCTTTTTTCTGGCTGTGGATGTGAGTGACCGAGGAGGGGCCTGCAGCTGGCTGAGCAGTGCCGCACGCCAAGTTAACCTCTGTGTTTTTCTTCCTGCAGCACGTCGACGGTAGCTTCTCTGTGAAGCCGTTAAAGCAGAAGCAAATTGTAAGTCTGTCGGAGGACACGTCATGAGCCCTTTTGATTTGACAGAGACACCCTGACCCCAAGCCAGTGGTCTCCGTGGATCAGTCTCCCTTCCACCGTGGTTGCTGTCGGGGTAGCTGATGACAGGCTGTTGACTCATTTGTCATTGCTGTGGCTCTGGGAAGTCAGGGTCAGGGTCATTGGGCGCATGTGTGTGTGCTGCACACCCACCGCATGCAACAGCACTGACTGTTGTGGCCCCCAGATCTTGTCCACTGTGAATATAGTAAGCTTTCAGTAAACATTTGCTGGATGAATGAACAAGTGAATGAATGGACAGAAGAAGGAAGAAAACAGGAAGCTAAGACTGCAGCTTCCCCTTTTCCTCCTCCACACAAAAATACCTCAGTATTGGGCAAAAAGGGATTTACTTAGTCTTTCAGGGGAAAGAGGGAGCGTCCTGGAGCAACTGGGAGATGGAGAGAAGTGCGGCTTTTCCGGGGTCTGTAACTCCATGGTCCCCCACCAGGATGGCTTATCCCTGTTGGCATCTGCACTGTGAAAATTTAGGGAGTGGGTTCTCTGAACTGTGTCATGTTGGCTCTTGATATTGAGACTGACTTTAGCAACGGCTGCGGTGGGGCCTGTTTCCAGATCTGTGATGTGCTATCCTTATATGTAGCTGATCAGGTATATAAGCCACAACCCAGGAATGGTGTTGGTTAGTTTTTCAAAAGAGGGGTAAAGAAAACTCTGGCAGATCCAGCCCCTAAAGGTTGCCGAAGGGCCAGAGACCCTAGTGAAGTTCAGGGCCTTGTCCTGGGGGAACTGGCTGGCAGGACTGTAGCTCCCAGGAGGAGTGTTTGTGGTCCAGAGAACTGCAGGAAGCACAGAAGCTCAGACCACTGCTGAACAAGGCCAGCATGAGGCCTGAACCTGGTCCCGCTTGTTGGGCTAGTGGTGGGCGGGTCTGAAGTTTTTTTCTCTAGATTGGGGACAGGAAAAGCTGCACCGGGTATGATTTCTAGGTCTGTGTGGATGTTGGCTTCAGGCCTTCTCTGGTGGACAGGACCAGCTGGGCCCCGACCTTATTGCCCATACTAGTTGGGCTGGGCAGATAGCAGGTTCTCTCTGACCCTGTCCTGGCATTGGACCCACTCCCCAGGGTTGGGGCAGACAGAATTCCCAACTATGCTTGCTCCTGGGACCCGAGCCTGGCAGGTAAGAGGTGGTGTTAGGCCAGGTGGGTGTGGAGGAGCCCTTGAGTGGGGGCTGGCAAGTGCCCAGATACCTCTCTGCCCTCCAGGTAGACCGGGTCAGCTACCTGCTACAGGAGATCTATGGCATTGAGAATAAGAACAACCAGGAGACGAAGGTATGTACTCATGATGAGCACGCGCCAGCACCCCAGGCCGGCCTCATCCCCAGCTGCCCTCCCACCTGCACAGAAGCAGGCTGGTGGGGGTGGCTTGCCCGGGGTCCCCCAGCCAGGCCAGGACCCTGCAGGTTGATGAGCCAGTTCCCGTCCACACCTTTTCCTGGAGGCCCTGGGACTCCAGATTCCATCATTTTCCCTTAATTTTTAAAAAGAGTTAACAGAGTTAAAGGACATTTTGTCCTTTTTCCAGCAGATTTGTTGGCTTGTTACCATGGTTGGGGTGCTGGCCATGAGGGCAGCCAGGGCACGTGGAGTCCCCTCGTGCCTGACCGGGCTCAGCCGGTGCTGCCCTGGCCTTCCTGTGCTCACACGAGCGGCTGAGCCTCGCTGCTCCCTGCGGCCTGGGTCCTCCCCAGACCGGTGCCTGTGGCTCTGTGGGGAGAGGGACGCTCCCTTGGGAGCTGCTGGTCCCTGTGGTAGGATGTTGCTCTCTCTCGATCCAGATTTTACTTGGTGAAAATATTTCAAACAAATATTTCTGAGCAAAAATTAGACTTGTCTGATTTTTTGTTCTTTTTTAACCAAAAAAATGGGTACCTTCTAGAAGATGTTTTCCATAGTGTTGCATCTTTTCCACATTTTCTTTTTGTTTCTGAGGAATAGAAATAGACCTCAGTTCCCTGATTTGGGGTCTAAGTAGGAGTGCGTTGGTGGGGGCGGGAGCTACAGATTCTCCACTTAGCCATGGGGCAGAGGGGTGCCTTGGGCTGGATCTGAGCCTGGCGCCCAGGGAGTGTGACTCTGGGCTCAGTCTGCTGAGGTGCCCAACTCTGTGGTGACCGTCCTGCACCCTTTTGGGCTTCCCTTTGCCCCCACAGCCTCCCCCAAGGGGAAGTGGGGGGTGGCTAGTGGGGCAGCCAGGGGCAGGAAGGCCTCCTCCCTGCTCCTTAACTGGCCCCCAGGCTCTGTCGTCAGAGCGTGAGAAGGCCGCTGACCCTCAGACCCTCATTGTCCCGCAGCCTTCAGATGAGGAGAACAGTGACAACAGCAATGAGTGCGTGGTGTGCCTGTCAGACCTGCGGGACACGCTGATCCTGCCCTGCCGCCACCTGTGCCTGTGCAACTCCTGCGCCGACACGCTGCGCTACCAGGCCAGCAACTGCCCCATCTGCCGGCTGCGTGAGTGGGGGCCCTGCACCAGAGCAGCCGGGGATGCGGGGTCTCAGCCTCCCACCTGGTGCACGGTGAACGCCTGGCACCTGGTGGTTGGTGCGGGCAGTTCACACCTCAGTGGCTCTGCAGGCATGTGAATGGTCCTGACCCTCCAAGGTCTGCTTCAGGGAGATTAGACTTTCAGAACGGCCGGGACCAGAACGGCCGGGACGGGTGTTCCAGGGCAGGTGTTTGCAGTGATGTTAGAACTGGACAGAAATTGATCAGTGAGTCAAATCTTTATATTAAAGGTCATGTGGAAAATATTTTGATTGAGAATTACAGTGAAATGAAAAGGGTAATCAGGGAATTAAATTTGGTTTTCTGGAGCACTCCAGACATTTTATAAAAGATTTTATTTATTTGTAGAGAGAGGGGAAGGGAGGGAGAAAAAGAGGGAGAGAAACATCAATGTGTAGTTGTCTGTCTCATGTCCCCCACTGGGGACCTGGCCCACAACCCAGGCATGTGCCCTGGCTGGGAATTGAACTGGCGATGCTTTGGTTCGCAGGCCTGCGCTCAGTCCACTGAGTTATACCAGCCAGGGCTGAAATTGGTCTTTCTTACATTTCACACATTGGCTACTAAGGTTCCACCTCCAAGCTCTGAGCCAGGACATGTGGTCCCAAGCTGTCACACTTGCCCCGTCACTGTCTTGGGGCTCAGAGGGAACCGCCCAAGGTCATAGCTAGTAAGGGGCAGAGGTGTAGTTTAAACTGGTTCTGACCCAGAGCCCACAGTTCTGCCCCTACTACACCAGCAAATCACGGGGTTGCCCCCTTAGGATAGCCAGGCGGGCCGTCAGAAGGGTGTGCAGGCACAAGGCCGTGGGGCAGGCCGGGTGCGTGGAGGTGGAGGACGAGGCTGCCTGCTCTGGGGGTGGGGGTCCAGAGCCCAGGAGGAAGCACCAGACTCCATAGGATGCTGGGGGCTGTGTGCTGGGCCTGCAGGGATGGCAGCAGGGTTGTACCCAGCCTACTTGGAGAACAGCTGGGATGGCAGTAGCCTCTCCTCTGTGGAGCGACATGCTGGGAGCAGAGGAGCAGGAAGGCAGGGCAGGGAGGCCATGGTGGGCGGCAGGATCCTGGCTGGAGCTGAAGTCCAGCTTCCCCAGCTTGCTCTGGCCTTGTGGGCACTGTCCAGAGGCCCGGGAGCAGGGGCCCCAGGGCAGGTGTTTGTAGCACTCGGGCTGGCAAGTTGGGCCAGGCCCATTGTCCCTGAAGCCTGCAGCATGGGGAGACTGCTGTCAACACTGGGGACTCAGTTGTCCTTCATCCCATTGTGGGGATGAACCTGATAAACTTGTGACTCTGTGACTCGTGTGCATGGCATGTGCTTTTCACTGAACCATGTCTGACAAACATTGCACTTTTGTCAGTGAAACCGATGCTGCAGGGTGACTGGTAGCTCCTTTTCAGATTTATTTTTCCAACTCCGTGGTCGGTGGGCAGTGTCTGTGCTGCTTCTGGTTTTCCCAGCACAGACGTGCCATCGTGGACATTCACGCACACGTGCCTGCCTGGCTGTCGGCTGGTGTAACTTCCAGGGGGAGACGTGTGGTGTTCATGGCTCGCTGTGTGCTTTTAGGTGGTTGGCAGGTGTAACTCAGAGGCACATTCACTGTCTAGTGTGACAGCTGCTTCCTGCCTGCCGCCCCTAAAAGCTCTGTTTGGGCCGGGGCAGTGTAGTCCTGGCTTCTCTGTTTCTTTTGGGTTGGGCAGTGGGGCATTTTATGATGACTCTGTTCTGCCTGAATTGTAAATGTGGCTTGTCCTGGGACTGCTGTGGCGTGAGTGGGTGGTCAGGGTCCCTAGAGCTTGGAGGGTCTCAGTGGTGCTAGAACTGCCTGCTCTTTGCCTGACATCGACCCCTCCCTTCTGCCAGCCTTCCGGGCCCTTCTGCAGATCCGGGCAGTGAGGAAGAAGCCAGGAGCCCTGTCCCCTGTCTCCTTTAGCCCCGTTCTGGCCCAGAGCATGGACCATGACGAGCACTCTGTAAGTGTCTCTTCCTCCTGCACTGGGGGCGTGGTGGTGGGCAGAGGAAGGGCTCTGGAGGAGGCCCCTGCCACTGTGCAGGGCCTGCCAGGCACCCAGGTGCTGCAGGGCCTACCCTCATGTTAGGGCTGTGTCTGGCTCCCAGAGGGGCTGGGTTGGTCAGGTGGCTGGATGGAGGCTACCAGGGCCCTGCCCTCAGAGCGCTACCTGGCCAGAACCAAGACCATCTGGCCAGCACCTCCATCTGCCAGCTCTCTGGTTCTTTGTCCTCACCTCCACAGCATGGCTCCCAGGTGGCCGTGAGGCTGAGCGGGGGGTCCAGGTAGCTAGGATTGCTGGCAATGGCAGGTGCCCCTTCATGGAGCTTAAGCCACATTGTCTGTCACCGTTACTCCACCAAGCCAGACAGCCAGGGGCACTTTGTGTCTTGGGAAGTGTGGTTTCCTTCCCAGGGTGGCTGCGACATACCCTCTGTGCACTCTCTGCCCACCTCTCTCCAGCCTGGGCACACAGGAGGGCACCTCGGCAACCGTCCCCTGCCCTTGCTCCCTAGGAGCCATGAGCTGGACCTCGCTGTAGGCAGACGAGGGGTGTTGGACTCTGGCCTCAGGGACCTCGAGAGAGAGCTGTGCAGAGACATGAAGAGACTTAGAGAGATGGGTATGTGTGGGCAGCAGTAGAGAGAGGAGAGGCAGAGACAGGGAGGTGGGGAGACACAGGTAGGGCAGGAGATGTAGGCGGTGGGGTGGGGGACAGACAGGGACCCAGAGTAGGGGTCACGGCAGGCATGAAAGCGAAAGGGGGGTGCTTAAGAGATGGCCAGACAGGGAGAGAGAGATGGGAAGAAACATGGAGAGAGACAGACAGACAGAGACGAGGATGGGAGTAGAAAGGAGAGGCTGAGACAGACAGATGGGGGAGGAAGGACCAGGGAACAGGTGTGGGGCAAGCCTGGGTCTCAAGCTCACAGGTCCCTGCTGGCCGTGAATATATTATCAGGTATGAGTCCCTTTTCTCGGCCCCCAACTGAAGTTGTTGGGACCCAGTGGTTTCTAGAGGCCCTGCCGACACTGAGAAGAGGACCCACACCCTCCGGACGGTGCACCCGTAAGATGGGCTCCCATGCCGGGCCAGTGGGCACGATGTGTTTGGCCCACGTAAAGTTTCTGAAAATTGGGTTAATGTTTAAAAATTTGGAAATTTCCCTTAAAACTCAGATTTATGGCTTCTCTTTCAAAATCTGGAGGTGTGGTCTTGAAGCTGGAGCAGAGGCAAGGCTGCCCCCCACCCTGGGGGTGGGGCAAGTCCTCACCATCCCATCCCTGCTTCTCCAGCGGCCACACTGTCCGATTTGCCTTCCGGGCCCTGTCGGCACCAGGGCCTACAACTTGGAAACTGGGCCGGCCACATACTTGACGTGGACTTACTTGATTAGGGACACTGCATACTTTTTCCAACAACTGAGTTTTTGGGAGAAAGAAAAACAGCAACAGCATCTGGGTGTGATTCGCTCCTAGGAAGTGAGGGCTCGTTCACAGAAGGGTGGCTGCCCAGGTGGTGGGTTTTAAATTGTGGCTAATGTGTCCCCTCCCAGTTTCTGTGTGTCCCCCTCACCTGGAGAGCTGAGGTGCAGCCCACAGTGCAGGGCGGCTGGGGCCTAGGCGGAAACCAGTAGTGCCTTTCCCTCCAGAGTTGTTTTCCGTCCTGTTCCCTGTATAAGCCATTTCCACGTAGTACCCGAGAGAGCCCAAATTAGGCATTTCCTCCAATGAGTTTGTTAAGGTGAACAAAGACATCACAGAGTGAGGTAAATTGGCGCTGATTTTTCTACCCAGCTACCATTAGGGTGTAGAAGTTGGTGGTAAGTTTAAGGGGCCAGGTTAAACCTCACAGAGGTGCTCGGGGCCCATGGGTCCCTTCCTCACACCAGCCAGGCCCACTTGTGGCCAACAGCCCTGCCCAGGACCTGCTACTTCAGGTGACCCAGACTGTGGGTGGGCACTGGGGATGGGGACGGGCCGTGCCAGCAGCATGGCTCCTAGCAGCTGCATAGTTGTGCAGGCCTCGCCCAGCAAGGCCCCTGAGGCCAAACCTGCACTGTGGCGAGGTCCCCACAGTTCGCGCGCGCACACTGAGTTTGTGAGGTGCTGGCTGACGGCACTCCCAGAAGCCAGCACGCCAGACAGACACCATCCAGCCAGCTCCAGGGCCGTACGGAGGGTGGTAGTTGTAAAATGTATGATTTTTATCTTGACAGTGTCCCTTTAAAAAAACAAAGTCGCACCCTGCCTCACTGGCCAGCAAGAAACCTAAAAGGGAAACTGTAAGTGTGTTTGGCCTCGTGGCCACATCTCTGCCCTTCACCCTGATTATTGAGCCAATGACAAGTACGGGAAGTCATTTTTACCCCAGGCTGATGCTTTTGATTAATTTAATCTGTCAAATCCACTCTCCCCAGTCCTGACGTCTCTGCCTAGGAAAGGAGTTTTGCGGAACAAGCAAAGCTCAAGGTCTGTCAGCAAAAAGCCAGTCTCGGTCCCCGCTGCCGGGCAACATGCCGGCCTCAGGCCGCCCCTTCCCGCCAGCTCTGCTTCTGCCCGTGGTCCCAGTGCCCTCGTTTCCCTTTTTTTCTTGCTGGCAGTGGAATGATGTTGGAGGTGGAGCTAACGTGGCTGCTAGATTTTGCAAACGGCACTCCTGGCGCTTGCTTGTCATCCTGCACCCTCTGCCCCTTGGGTTTTATTTCTTTGGGCCAAGGACTTAATTTTCTTGCATTTTCCCTGCATCTCAGGGAGCAGGCTGGGGTCAGACAGCGCATGGCGGCTGGGCTGGGCCTGCAGTGAGGCACACAGGTGGACGTCACTAGAGAGTCAAGCTAGAGACAGATGTTTTCCTTTTCTTGGTGGGCGAGGGGGTTCAGAGAAATTACTTACCTTTAAACGGAAAGTAGTAGGTTGGGAGCAAATGCAGGGCACCACTGGGTCAGCTGACCTGGGGACCTGGGCAGTGCTCTCAGAGGGCCACCGTGGTCCTCTGCTTCCCTGTGGTCCCGGCACTGCGTCACCGCCTCCCTGAAAGGCAGCCTTCCTTCCAGCCAGTCCGAGGGGGCTCCACACAGGGATACTTTGGAGCATTTGCCTTTCACCTCGTCTAATGAGAGTGAGGGCAGGGGGCTGCCCTGCCCTACAGGGGCACTGACATGCCCCAGCACAGGGGAATCTCCTTTCACCTTTAACCCTAAAGCAGGACTCAGGCTGTTGACGTGATTCACTCCTCGCAAGGGGGAAGCAGAGGTTCTGAACCAGGTAGCCCATTAGGATCACCTGGAGCACACGCCGCCCCTTGGATGCTTGCCACCCCAGGTTCATGGAGGATCTGAAGTTGGGTTCCAAGTCTCTGTTTTTGGGCAGACTCCCTGGGGACCAGTCACCTGTGCGCACCCCCGCCCCTCCAGTCTAGAACACTTTTGGTTCCCACTGGCGTCTCTCACCTTTAGCATGGCTTCGCTCTCCCCCGCTCCTCTCTCTTACTAACCCTCTCACCCTCCGGCTCCGCCAGGCAGGAACACAAAGATGTCCTTTAGGGGCCGTCCGAGGCTCGGGATAGGGGTGGCTCTTCCAGATGCCCTCTCCACCTTCATCCTGGACATCAGTCACGTGGGGCGTTTGGGTGTCCAAGGTTGTGTGCTGCACTGATGGCGAGGGAGCCCTGGGTAGGAGATCTGATGCTGCTCTGGAGTGTTTGGCCCCCCCTCTGGAGGAGGGAGGATTTAAGTCCCTGGAAGGTGGAGCAGGCAGGAGATGGTCAGAAAGCAGATTCTGGGAAATAGAACATCTCTGGGGCACAAGCCCCAGGCAGCGGGCAGGGAGCCCGGTGGGCAGGGAGCCCGGCCAGCCCATCCCTCACCTGCTCTTGTCCCCTCAGAGCTCTGACAGCGTCCCGCTGGGCTATGAGCCCATCTCCTTGCTTGAGGCACTCAACGGCCTTCGAGCCATCTCCCCGGCCCTCCCCTCGGCTCCTCTATATGAAGAGATTACCTACTCGGGCGTCTCAGATGGCCTATCCCAGGCCAACTGTCCACTTGCTGGACTGGATCGAATCTTGGAAAGCAGCCACCAGAAGGGCAAGTCAAGGAGCAAATCCCCTGACAGGTGAGGCTGGTGCCAGACTTCCCTCTGGGGAAGGGTGTCTGGGAACTCCCCCACCTGCTCTATGGGCCGGGGCAAGGGAGATGTGTGCTAGGAGATAAGCGCAAAGCAGGTTTATTTGTAATTTTGAATAATTTTACAACGCCTTGCATTTGGTGATTCGCCAGAAAGAGTCGCAAGCCCAGTAGTGGTTTGGGCTCATGGCTGTCGATCGCAGCAAAGGCAGCGGGAGGGAACTGCGTCCGAGGGGCCAGAGGCGCCAGCGTCCTCCCTGCCCCAGGCCACACAGGAGCAGCAAACCCCAGGAGTGTGCTCGCTGCCTCAGCCTGGAAGCACCGTTTGAGTTTCAGGGTTTCGGGACTTTCTGGGGGTTGGTCACATGGGCACATCCTGTGGTGTGACCAGCGATGGTGCCAGAAACCAGCCTCGGTGATACCAGGTGCATGCCCTCCGCCTTGTTTATGCCTGACAAGCAGGACCGACGTCACTCGCGTACGGAACCTTCGAGAGCCACATGCCTGGGCCCACCAAGGGTTCATCACGGGTCCCTGGGACACTTGCTAGGCTCGTGCAGCTAGCTCTGCTGTGTCTCCTCACACATGTGCTGGTTTCTAACTAGAAAAGTATAAAAAAGGCAGAGGTTCTATAAAACCGACTACAGCCCTGTGACCTACAAACATGGCAGAACTGCCTCAAGGATACACGAAGCAACGTGGGTATCTCCTGCTGCTTCCACGCCCATCCTCCCGCCCCAGGGGTTTACCATCACAGCTCTCGTCCTTCTGGAAGTAAAAAGCCACGGTTAGGCCTCTGCCAGTGTGGGGGTGGATAGCCGCCGTGTCCGGCAGCTGGGGGCCCCGCTGTCATTCTGCCGGTGCCCGCCCCGCCCTGGGTGCGCCTGCCCCGCAGCTCCAGGCGCGTCTGCGAGCTCACCCTCACAGGATGCTGGCTCTGGTGGGGTCGGCGTTTCTCGTCCACTTGTCTTTCACTCCCCTCTTCTCTGCCTCCAGCACCCTACGTTCCCCATCGTCTCCCATCCATGAAGAGGATGAGGAGAAGCTCTCCCAGAACTCGGACGCCCCTGCCTTGCTGAGTGGGACGGGGCTGGTGCTGAGCAGCTCCCCAGAGGTGAGGCCCCCCCTTGGCCCACCCTCCTCAGTCCTGCCCACCAGAGATTGGAGTCCCCACTGCTTGCCTGTTGACTTTTGAGACCTGTGTCATGGTGTGCCCCGGGCCTGCCCTGCCACTCCCTCATTCAGTGGCCTTGGCCTGGCTGTGACTCCCTCAGCCTTAGCTTCCTCATCTGTGCAGTGGGCATTGGCAAAGGGGCTGTGTGTGAAGTGCCCAGCAGACGTGCCCTGGACTGGCAGCTGCGGTGCACCCTGCACCCTCCCTGGGTTACCTGCAGCCTGATCTCGGGTGGTCGGCGCAAGTCCCGGGTCAGCGCTGTAGGTGCAGACGCATCTTCCCTTGTCCTCTAGAGTTTCCTCACGGAGGAGGTCGATGAGGGGTCATCACTAAAACAAGGTAAGCCCTCTCTTTCCCTAAGGGCAGGGTTCTGGTGCTCTCTGCCTAGGCGGGGTGGGGGCCTCCAGCTCAGCTCTCCTAGAGGTTTTTCAGTGAGTTGTGCTGCCTTCCTGGGAACCACACACTGGTTACTGCCCCGTGTTTCAGAGGGCAGTCTGCCACCGCCCCCGGTTTTCCTCCCGCTGCCCAGCATCGGGTAGTAGCAGTCACTTTATTTCCCACTTGGATCATTCTGCACACAGCCAGCTCTCAGGGTTGTCCTGTTGTACACCACCCATCCTGGCCTTGGGCTGCACCCATCCCTCGGGGTTGTAGTCCTGCCGGCGCCCATGGAGACCCAGGACCTCTGTGTGGGCCTTGGGCCCAGCACAGCCGATGGCCAGGGTGTGCGCACGCGGTTCAGCTGTGTCCACGCCTCCCGTGTTGGGGTGAAGGGACTTGTATCTCTTTTGACGGGGCGGTTTAGCACATATGGGAGTTAGGTCCCAGGTACCCATCACGTGTACCGGGCTCTGAGTCAGGGATGTCCCTGCCTGATCTCACAGTGGTTGTGGGGCATAATGAGGTGCTTTCCTTTGCTGGCTGGGGAGATGCCATCTCTCCACTGCCCTGGTCATTTCTTCCCTGTGTTGGAAAGATGAGGATCAGAGCCAGGAGGTGGCCCTCACTGGCTGGCTCCTAAACCTGCAGTCTGATAAAGCCCCCAGAATAACCTGCAGATGCCCCCTTGCTGTGATCCCTTCCTGCTGGGGCCCCCGGCCAGCACTGCACTGTGGGGACCCGTATTCCTCCCGGGAGCAGCACCCCCTACACATGGGTGAGGCCCGTCTGTGGGCTGCTGGGCCAGGGCCCTTGGGTGCGGGGTGTGTGAGTGCTGGGTGGAGGGGTTCTGCCCCCCGAAGCACCGTGCCGTCTCTTGCTGGCTGGCAGGGTGCAGGGCAGCCCCTCTGCCTCTCAGGCCTTGGCTCCCCCACCTCCTGGGGGTTGGCTTTGTCTCGCTTGTGCACAGTGTGTGCTGGGACCGGGCAGCCCTCTGCTGTGCCCTGACACAGGGACCAGGCCCCTTTCTGTGGGAGAGGCCTCCCCCACGAGGGCGCCCCAGAGCCAGCAGACGTGAGTGGGGCAGCCACACCCAGAGCCCCCCCCACAGGAGCACCCACGCAGGACCCGCTGCGGTGTGTGTGGACCAAGTGCTGCCGCCCTGCCTGCCCATCCAGAAAGACACGTGACAGTTCTACCTGTTACCATTTCAGCTTGTTTTTTTAATGTTGGTCATGTAATTTTTTTTTAAATAAAATAAAACAAAAGCCCCATATTAGGGGGTGCAAGAGAAGAAAGGAGGAAGAGGAGGAAACGTCTACCTCTGGGGTCCTGGGAGAGCAGAGTGGGAGTCAGAATGAGGTCTTGGCCAGAGCGAGGGCCCCTAGTGGCTGTCGTGCCCTTGGGATGAGAAGTGGGCTCCCTGGGCTCAGCCAGAGGGAAGGCTGGACCCACCCCTGCCTGTGGGCCCCTGACCTGCTCCCTCCTCTGCAGGGAGCCGCGTGCCCTCCATTGAGAACGTCCTGCAGGATGGCAGCCTTGATCCCTGTGGCTGCTGCCAGCCTGGCCCACCTACTGACATCTACCTTCCAGGTAATAGCACTCAGCCTTTGGGTTTTGGGGGCCTGCTAGGCCTGGGGCGATGCCGTGACTGTCCCCATGGATCTGGGGGCCTGCTCTGACGATTGAGGGAGGGATTGACCCCTGGGAGCCCAACCCCTCTTCCTGGCTCTGAGCGTCCGTCACTCCTTCCATCAACCCCAAAAGCACAGCCAGGCTCATTTTCCAGTCACCCCTCCTGCAGCCGCTGGCTCTTTGGGCACAGCCTGTGCTTGAGGCCCCTTTGCACCCCAGAGCCAGCTCAGCCACAGGAAGGCAGGAAAGGCTGTGTGTTTAAGGACATGACCCTTTTCCCTGTCTGCCTCTGCTGTTGCTATGTCCTCTTCCATGGCTCTGGGCTCTGGCACACTTGGGCCTCTGCCCCAGGAAGCTACGAACAAAGCCACCTGCCTGCTTCAGGCTTGATATGGGCCACCAGCTCTCTGCCACTTGCCTGAGGTCCCTGATGAAATACTACATCCCAGGTCAGGGTGTGGGGGGACAGGCTGGGGTGCTAAGTGCCAGTAAGTGTCAAGGCACCTGGGAATGGTCTTGCTTCTCTTCCCCTTTCCTGAGGCCTCTGCCCGGGGCCTTTTGGCCTCAGCCCCTCTGCTCTCGGCTCCTCTGGGCCAAGGTACTCAGCATCAAGTCCTGGGCTCCAGACATGGTGGGTGGGAGTTGGGGGCACTCTCAGGTGTTCATGCCGGCACCTGCTAGGATGCCATCTGATGTTCTGGAGTCAAGATAAACAGCCATGTTGCCACCAGAGAGCCTGACTCCTGCCACATTCCTGGGGAGTCCTTGGAGCCAGCATTGCCTGGTCCCTGGTGACCTGGCCCAGGCATCGGGGAGCTCTGATGTGCTTTGGTTGGAAGGGCCTCTTGCCCCCCACCCCAACATCTGGAAGAGCAGTGACATGTGCAGACAGGGGGTCACCTGCTGTGAGGGAGCAGGATAGCTGTTGGTTCAGTGGCACCTATGGGCCCGCCCACAGGGACACCCAGGGGCAAAAGCACACCTTCGAGTAATAAGGATTCCAGTGAGCTCTTGCAGAGGACTTCAAGTATTTCATTGTGATTCAAATTCTGCCCGGCTCCCACCCCCTCAGTCCTTCCATAGGCTGAGTTCCTCTGGGTTAGAATTTGGCCCAGAGCTGTTTCTCAGGAAGTAAAATTTCAGCCCGTATCCGTCTTTTGTTTCAGTAGGTTGTGTAGGCATTTCATTTCCACTCCCCACCCCTTCAGGCAGCCTGTCCTAAAGCTAGTGCATCGGCTGTGGAGTGCGCTCATGTGGCCGAGCCTTTGCTAACCAAGCTTCTGTCTCTCCTCTGCACAGCCCGGGGGCCGGACTCCTGCTCTGTTGGCGTAGAGGAGTAAGCTGGTGCGTGACTGCTGTCATACTGGTGGCGGGCGGCTCAGACGGGTGTCCTTGGCAGGGGGCCAGAGAGAGGATCCCCTCAGCTGCCTCCTCTTCTCCTGCTCCCTCTGTGGGGTTTCCTTCCCATTTTCCAGCATATTCCAAACCCATATCTTCCCATGGGTTCTGGGTTTTAAATCCAGAGCTCTCCCAATGCCACTGCACCTGTGCCCCAGAGAGGTAGTCCTGGGAGGAGTCTGGTGTTGGCTTTGGGGCCAGAGGTTCTTCCATCAGGACCAGATGGGCCAGTCAGGCTCTTCCAGCCTTTAGGGTCCCAGGAATGGTTGAGACCTTGTCACTGCTGCTACTAACCTGTCCCCCATCCACCTGCAGAAACTTCCGGAACACTAGCACACTCTGATACCAGTCTGTGAGGGAGTCCTGAGACTAACTCCCAGCCTGACAGGGGGCGCCCTCTACCTGTGACACAGGTGCTTTACAGAAGGCTGTTCCAAGAGCACCACCGAGAAACAGGCCCTATGTGTTGGGACCCCTCCCCCTCCTTCACATGACATTTGTGGTTCTGGGAAGTCTCGTTGTTGGTGGCCTGGGGTTTCCCAGACGTGTGCGTCATGGAACACTCCCACAGGACCTCTGGACTGTCCTGGTGGCAAAGCCCTGGCAGCGCCCGCTGGGAGACATACTCCATGCTGATGTCTGGGTTTCCTCCTGGTCACCTGAGCCCAGGCTTTGCTGTCTGTCCACTTTTTTGATATTTTCCCAGACAGACCTCCCGTCTTCCTTGCACATTGTTTCTGACAGATACTGTCCTCTGTTGAAACAGGGTCTGGCACTTTTATACAGTAGGTCCTGGCCTCCACAATAGTAGATGCTGAGTGTTGCAATTTAGGTAACACTTCCAGAAATAGGAAACAGAGGTCAGATCAAGCTACAGAGAAATACATTTCACCTGCAGCCTATGTGGCCAAGCTGACTCACTGCCTGTAGGCACAGCACCTAAGAAAACGGTCTGTTTACCCCAGGGTCTGTATCACAGGTGGCCAGAGCACTGCTTGGTTTGCTAATTGAAGACACTCTCAGAGCCCACGTTTGGGTGGATGGACAGGTGGCCATTCATTCTGCAGCTCTGAGAAGTGTGCTGGCCTCTCTGCTGCTGCAACCCCAGTCAGGGCTCCCCACACCAGTGCTCAGGGTGGGGGCTGACCCTGCACAGGGACAGAGCACCCCGGCATTGGGGAGGTGACTGTGGTAACAACAGGCCCCTGAGGAGGGCAGGCTGGGCTCCTGGGGCTGTGAGCACTGGCTGTGCACCCAGGTCTGAGTCCATTCACTTTGGCCTGGGGCTGACTGAGTCCTAGCCTGATCCAGTTGGGAAGCCTTGTAGACAGTGGCTGCTCATTTTCAAGGAGCACAGTCCCCCCGTGAGGGCAGGAGATCCAGAGGTCAGCTGTTCTATTGCATGGCTGCAGCTGCTGCTGGCACCCTTGCCACTCACCCATGGCTGGAGTCCCCCGGCCTTCTCTGTGGTCCACCACAGACATGCGTATGCAGTGGAGGGTGCTGGGTGGCCCTGCCCTCCAGGTTTCGTAGTTGGTGGGAACGCGGAGCCTGGTGGGTGAAGGGAGCAGTTGAGACGGATGACTCAGCCTAGCCTGACCCTCCTCCGTGTGCTCCCGCCTGCAGGATGGTCCACTTCCATGGAGATGCCCCGAAGCCTCCTCACCACTGGCCCCACCTGGCCCCAACTGCTCGGTGGCCCCAGTTGTGACATTGGGGCCACTGACGTGACTCCAATCTGAGAGCCTTGGCCAGGCTGGCAGCATGGAGCCCTCAGCTTCCCAGACTTTGCTTAGGGGCTGTCTGGACCCCAGTGAGACTCCTGGCATCTCCTGTCTGCACACCCGTCACATCGCAGCCCTGAGGGGCCCTGCGCCCCTTGGCTGAAGAGCCTAGCGGACTCCCCTCTGACAAAAGCTTGTTTTTGTGGTCTCCATATTGTAAATGGTACAGGACGAAGGGCAGTGCCTTTCTGTCGCGGGCACTGTGCTCTAGGGCTTCCCCAGTCGCCTTGTCAGCTGAGCAGCTGGGGCCGGGAGCTAGCCGCCCACATGTCCCAGACTGGCTTTGTCCAGCAGCCCCCCAGCCAGTGGGGGGTTAACACCCTGCGAACTCAACACACTGGCAGGACAGGATATAATGGGTGAAGTACTGTCTTCACAGGAATTGTTTACTGGGGTGCTTGTCAGGGAAGGAAAGGAAAGTGGGTCTGAGTCATGGTCACTGAAGGAAATGGTGCCTGTCCCCTACCCCACGTGCGTGGCCTGGCTGGTACTGCTGCTTCGTGCCCTGTGTTCCCCTTCCTGTTCAGGCCCTTTGGTGTAGGTCTGCCTCCCATAGCTCGCAGCCCTTCCCCACAGCCCTGCCCTCTGGGCCACCCAGGTTTCTGCACTCCGGCCGGGTCTGGGTCTGCCTAGGGCAGAGGTGCAAGTGCACAGCCTGTTGGCAGCAATTGGTCTAGTGGCCCCCCTCCAAGTCCTGCACCTTCTCAGAGGTGGCTTTGCACACACCCTCAGACCTCCTTCACGTGGAGGGCCCCTGGAGGGACCCGAGCAACTTCTCTCCTCCCTCTGTGCCATTTAAATGTCACTTTATGTTTCTCTTTGATTTGTTTGGTCTGGGACTCCTTGGTGGGACCTGCCTGGGGGAGTTGGCCTCTTTTATTATTATTATTTTTTAAATGATAACCACCTGGGCAACAAAAAGGCAGAGGGCGTACCCAACCCTGGTGCAGCAGGGCACAGCTGCCTCAGCCAGCGACCTTGGCCTGGGGTGTGGATGGATCTGTGCAGCTCCCCACCCTGGGATTGGGGTTTGCAGAGGAGCTCGCTTTCTGAGGAACTGCTCTGGGAAGCGTGATGGTTCTGGTTTTGGGACAGGCAGCAGCTGTCCACAGAGCATCGCACAAGTAGGGACTTTGTCCAGTGGGGTCCTCATTGTCTCTCCAGTTGGGCCTGAGCAGAGCACTGCCTTATGCACAGCTCTCGGCCATGCTCAGGCCACCTTACCTGGCCACTTGGCTGTCTAGCCTCCCCTCCCACCTGCTGGTGCGCTAATTGGTGCACACTAGCACACACAAGCTGGCCATCTCTCTCCTCTCCCCCTCATCACCCACCAGCACCCTGGCCTCTCGCCAGCGGTATTGGTGCCAGCACTCTGAAGGACAGGATGCAGACTGCCCTGTCTTGGACTTACACGCGCTATCATTTGATGTATTCTGATGGGCTAGTTTTTGTTCGTTTTTACTGTATATTTATAGTAATAAAATCATGCAGCATTATCTTGTCCACTCCTTTTTCTGTGCATAGCACTGCAGGGCCTCAACTGTTTCTTGGTCAGGAGGCAGTACTTCTACATCTGTGAGGTTCGACTCCAGGAGGGCGTGAGGGACACCATGTATGATGCTGCTGGTTACTCTTGTGGCCATTGTGCTGATTCTTGGGTTGGATTGAATGGTCCTTGGGGATTTGGCTCAGTCTTCTGAGCTGGTGGAGAAGGAACTCAGGGCCTCCAGGGTTTTGAGAGACTGTTGCAATCCCCATCTGAGTCGCTGATTCATCCCACAGATGTTGCCTGAGCACCTACTGTGTATCAACAAAAGGCAAGATGGGCACAGTCCAGGCGTGTGGGGCTTGTGTTCTAGTTAGTGAGACTGCACAAGTAAATTCTCATCTTCCCAGAATCAGCAGGTGATAAGATGGAGTCACGTGGGGGACTTGATTCAACCCATGGTCTGGAAGAGCACCCCAGGCAGCTGGCACAGCAAGTGCAAAGGTGTGGAGGCAGTAGTGAACCTAGGGTGTCCACTGAGTTGAAAGAAGCAAGAGTGGCTCAGAGTGTTGGGGAATGGGAGATGTGCAAACACTGCAAGACCTTGCAGGGGCAGAGTTTTCTAAGAACAGGTTTTTAAGAAAGGGAGTGGTTCACTCTAGATGTCAGGTGGAGGATGGATTAGAGCGGCAGGTTTGGCTGCCATGATGCCGAGTGCTGCTTGGCTTGAGTTTCCCTGCCCAGGGAATGGCTTCCCAGTAGGGAGAAGCTGGTGCCCTTAAATGCACAGGAAGCACTGTTTGTACCACCCCTGGCAAGCAGGACCCCCAGCTCCTTTGCACACACAGTTCCAAGTTGCCTTCACAGGCTCCTTCTGTAACTCAGACATTCAAGAGTGGAACCAGTAGTGTTCTTGGATGGCCAGTTCCTGCCCCAAGGAAGGACTGCCACCTTCAGTTGTCCCTGGGTCTGGCATGGTCCCAGTGTGGGTAGAAAGGTGCTCAGCTATACTGGGTCTCTTTCCTTCATCCCCCCAAATGGACCCACCTCTTTAATTCATGTCTGGTGTCAGGGAGGGGTTGGGTATGGGGTGCCATTCTTCTGTACCCCCTGCCCCACACTGGCCTTGGGCTCAGGTCATGCTCTGCAGCCTGGAGATAAGGACCTCTCTGGATGAGCCCTTCCCCTCACTGACCTTTCCCCTTCAAACAGTGACTTGCCCTGGGACCTGGCTGCCTCTCGTCAGCTGTGGCTACCCCTCTGAGCCTTGACTCTGGCAGAGGACCACAGTGGGGAAGAAAGCCTCCCTCTTTGGGTCATTACCCATATCTCCTGACAGCACACCATGGACCAAACGTGAGTGAGTTTCTAGTGGATCGCACCAACCCTTGTCTGCCCTCTGCCCACTCCCCTCACTCACCTCTGCTCAAGGCAGTCTTCCCCGTGCCACAGACCCTGACCTCATTGCATGGCTCTCCCAAGGCTGTGCGGGTGGCACCAGTCCTGAGTTTCTTCACTAAGCCTATCCATGCCTGCTCTGGGTAGGCAAATGGAGCTTGAACCAGCTGGTGGAGTGAGAGGCACTAGGACTCAGGAACCCCAGCGATATATTTCCCGATTTCCTTCTGCACAAACATGGGGTAGGTACTTGTGGCAGAAGGCAGATTTTCTTTCGTGGACACTGGGTGAGAGACAAGGTGGGAATTGGGGTTCTGGCTGTGTCACCAACTGCAGAGCGCCCTTAGGCAAATCCTGCCCCTGTGAGCCCAGGGTCCTCTTGGGGAAATTGGGGAGACCCCGTTTTCTCCACCAGTACCTGGCATATGGTGCCTGATGTGGAGGATACTTACGGCGCTGAGCGTGGAAGTTCCCAGCCTGGGACTTGTCACTTTAGCCCTAGCCAACTGTGTAGGGAGCCTCAGGGCTTCTCGCCATCTACCCCATCCAGGACTGAGCCCAAAATTGGATTGTGGGGCAGTTGGAGCTTCACCAGGCCCTTTTTTTCCTGTGCTGTTACTGAGTGAGGCAGACCAGCAGGAACCTAGATTGGAGTGCTTAGCATGTTGCACCCTCCAGTTGCAGGGCTCAGCTGAGCCCTCTTGGGGGAGGCAGGGGGCGCCCACGTGCCCAAGGAAGTGCTGGGGGAAGGCTTGCGATTCGGTCCTGCCAAAGGCAACATGATTTGGGGGATCTTGCTGTCCCCCCAAATCGGGGGACAGGATTGTCTGAGCCCTGAGTCTTTCACCCTCTCCACCCTGTAGGTTCCACGCGCAACTGAGCCCTAAGTCCTTTTGCCCTGACATCCAGCTCGCAGCTCCAGGGGAGCGGGAGAGGCGGGCGCGTTGCATTCTGGGCTTTGTGGTTTTTGATTGCCATAGGCTGCGCCACCGCGTGGAGTTTGCGGTTATTGGGTGCTGGCTGGAGAGCACGCCTTTCCTCCCTTTGCACACGCCCTTTGCTCTTAACCACGCCTCTCGGTGTTGACTCATGTTAGCGATTGGCGGATGGAGCGAGGCTGCCTGTGGATTGGTCAGGTACAGTGGGGGCGGGCCAGCGCCTTCACTTAAGGGCAGGTACTCCAGATCCGCGGGCAGTGCCAAGATGTCGGCCACGGTGCCAGAGCTGAAACAGATTAGCCGGGTAGAGGCAATGCGCCTGGGGCCGGGCTGGAGCCACTCTTGCCACGCGATGCTGTACGCCGCCAACCCCGGGCAGCTTTTCGGCCGCATCCCCATGCGCTTCTCGGTGCTGGTGAGGACATGGGCGGGCTGACGGTGGCCAGGGCGCTCGCTGTTCATACCCACGGCCGTGACCCGGCGCTCCCTTGCAGATGCAGATGCGCTTCGACGGGCTGCTGGGCTTCCCTGGGGGCTTCGTGGACCGGCGCTTCTGGTCACTGGAGGACGGACTGAACCGGGTGCTGGGTCTGGGCCTGGGCTGCCTGCGCCTCACCGAGGCAGACTACCTGAGCTCACATCTCACGGAGGGGCCGCACCGCGTCGTGGCGCACCTATATGCGCGGCAGCTAACGCTGGAGCAGCTGCACGCCGTGGAAATTAGCGCGGTGCACTCGCGCGACCACGGCCTGGAGGTGGGGCCGCCGCCCGGGCCCTGCCCCCCACCCCGGGGTTTGGCTCTGGCCCTGCGACGATGGGTAAAACGTTCCCGAGGGTCCCCTATCCAGGTTGGGTGGGGTGTCACTGCCTTAGGCATCGGGGTTGGGAAGAGGGACCTGAGGGTGGAAGGCTGGGGCTCCCTCCGGGCCGAGTTCTACCTTGCTGCCTGCCATTGCCAATCCTGGGAGTGGGGAATAGGACTGGTTGCAGGGGATGGGATAGAGTGGGACCTGCTCAAGGTGGTGAGAAATTCAAAAGCAGACGGGCACTTGCAGGATAGGGAATGGAGGAGGTTGTTTTCTTGGAGTTGAAGACTCTTGTGATTTGTGGGTATTATGGTCTGGAGGAAGGGCTGGGAGTGATAACTGGTGTGTTTGGGATTCACCCTCAGGAATGGGGAGCATGTGGTGCAGACGGGGGGGGGGGCTTCCTGCCAGTAAACATGGGGCTGAAACTAGAGGATGTAGAGGGTGGGAAATGCACGAGGTGGCCTTGAAACTTGCTTGTTGGGGAGAAGGCTGTGCTGCTCCAAAGAAACTTGCTGGCTTCTGCCTCACCAGACCCTACCTTGGTCTTCCATTGTACTTGGCAAACTGGCTTCCGTTCCCCTAGCCTAGCAGCTCACACAGATCCCTCCTACCAGGGTTGTACTATTGGTGTGGGGGCCTGGCCCCAACCTTGGTCTTTTTCTGCAGGTTCTGGGGCTTGTGCGAGTCCCACTGTATACCCAGAAGGACCGAGTAGGTGGCTTTCCCAACTTCCTGAGCAATGCCTTCATCAGCACAGCTAAGTATCAGCTCCTCTTCGCCCTCAAGGTGCTCAATATGATGCCAGAAGAGAAGCTGGCTGAGGCTGTCGCTGCAGCCACTGAGAAGCAGAAGAAAGCTCTGGAGAAGTTCCTCCCATCTTCCTCCTGAGGTTGCTCCTGTACCACGTGTCTTCACCCTTCTCTGCGCCCATTGCTGAGACTGGGCCCTGATAGCCTGCAGGAGTGTATCTTCTAATGTTTCTGTGTGTGTAACCCTTGCTTACTGCATGGGGTGAGTGGGCATCTCATCATCTCCACTGTCTTGAGGCCTGCTGTGACCTCAGATTGGTCAGTGGGTGGCCTGGGGATGCTGGACCTGGCTGTCTAGGCTCAGGATATTCTCACCCACCTTGAGGCTTAAACCTGCCTCTCTGAGAGTCTCTCAGGTTGGTGGTGGCCCAGTTACCACCTGATTTTCCAAGTGGGTAGGTGCATACACACAGACCAGTGAGAAGTTGGTTCTCATGGAGGATGCCTTTCTCTGTGGACTCATTCCTGGACACTGCCCTCTGTGCCAGTCTGGGGTCCTAGAGAAGAGCCAGCTTGGGTAGGATGTTGGACTGTTAATTTGGGCTGTTTGCTTTACTTGGTTAGATTTCCTTTTCTGTGTTGTGTGAACTATGGGTGAGGCTTCAAAACCACTTTACCCCACTGGGACTTGGTCCCCAAAGACAGGATCATAGGCCCAGCTGTAAATGGAGTTGTTGAAGGGACAGTGAAATGGCACCTCTGCTGTTCTGTTCTTTGGTCTTGACTGCAGGCCCAAGGCTGGCTGCAGGAGGATGTCTCCTTCCTTTCCCCACTACCTGGAGACTTAAGGACAGAACCAGGTCTAAGAGCACTGGGCACCATTCAGAGTCAAGCTGCCACTGGACTCCTACCTCAGGGTGGGGGGTCAGGTGTTGCCGTCTACCTCCCTGTTTACGTGCGGAACTATCAGCCATGGACCTCTCTGGGCTATGAACTTGGTCTGGGGCTTCTTTGCTGAGACTGTCCACAAGACACTCCTTTTCTGATCCTGGTGGCTCTGGCTGCACCTGGGTTGAGCCTGCTGTTCTTTGCTGTGCTTTGAAAGCCTCCTCCTCTCCATTCCCAATGTGGTCTGCAGGCAGCTCCTGGGGATGGTCTGGAAATACCCTCCAAGTTTGCAAAATGACAACAGCGGAGCCACCACAGGCAAGTAGGTCACCACTGGAGGTCTCCTATGGGTCTATGTCTGGCAAAACTTAGCAAAGCTATGGGACAATTTCCACAGTGCCTGCCCAGCCTGCTAAGGAAAGTGGTGCTCCCAGCCCAGCCCGGGTATCTGTTCTACCTTAGAGCCTTGATGAAGCAGCCACACTGTGGGCAAAGGCACTTCATCTGTAAATAAAACACCTGTACCTTGCTCTTCTCTTATTTCCTGGGGCGTGGGGCATGCTTGGCTCTGCAGGTAGCTTCTTTTAAATCACAAGGGTCTGAGCAATAGTGGCTCTAGCTGCAGGGACAATGAGCAGGAGGGGTCACCAAGTCAGCCCCACTAAGAGCACAGTATTGTCCGTCCTGGCAGAGGAGGCCTGGGCCCCAGCGGGTCTCTGGGACTGGGGGTCATGGCATGACTTTCCCTTTGTTTTTCTGTCATCCAGTACTGTATGAAGTGTGACCAGAACTGAGCCCCTCACCGGCTGATCTTAAATTTTATTTCCAGCAAATGACATATGCTGCCCAGGTGCCCAGTCATCACCCATCAGGGCAAACCTGAGTGTGTGCCTACGGTGCATGGGGACACGCTCTCTCCCTAAGGTCCTGTCTGCTCTGGGCCTTACCACCACGCTCTGGACGAGGCCCTTGTCTTGCCACCACAGGGGCCTTGCTGTCTGGCACGGGCCACAGCCTGGTCCTGCCTCTGCTAGCTGTTCCTGGGGGCCGATCCTCTGGCCGCGGTTGGGGCCCAGGCTGCTGCAACTGCCTGCTCACTGCCCTGTTTTCCGGGCACACAGCTTCAGGGTGGATCAGTCACCCAACGTCAGATTCTGAGAAGGGAAACGGGACTAATGTGGGTGTTCGCTCAGCTCCCAGTGGACCCTGCTGTCCCAGATTAGATCCTGGGCTGGTCGACACTCACCATCCCTCAAGCTAAGGTTCCCGCCAGTTCTCTTTCCCATTCAGCACCTGCAGCTTCTCCAGGCCCTGGGTCACTGAGCACAGCACTCGCCCTGAGGACGGGAACAGAGAGTGCAAGTCTGGGCAGCAGCAGCAGAAGGGGAGTCCTGTGAGGGGGACCGCTAGGAGTGGATTACCTGGAGGGTCAGTAGGTTGTAGCGGGGCTGCCCTAGGGGTCGGAGCTCACTAGGCTTTTCCTGTTACTCCATGTCTGGTCCCTGGGTGGGGGTGAGGGTCATTGGCTGCCCTCCCAGAGACTCACCCATTTCGTGGACTCGATCCTCCAACAATTGTGACAGCTCAGGGAGGCTCAGGGCTTGCAGGGAGGCCTGCCGGTCTTTGGAATCTGTGGGGCAGGGCTGGGTGAGCCTGTGGTTTGTGTGTACACAAGCCCTGCCTCTGCTGAGCCGCTGTGACCAGGAGACCCACGCAACTGTCATGTGTATGTGGCCCCCTTGTTATATCGAAATGTGTTCTGCTTGCTGACCAAAGCACTAACTGCTGGTCAGGACCCAGCCCCAGGAATGAAACCCTCCCATGAAGCTGTGCCCTAGGGTCTGCCAGCCCAGCCCCAGCCTCCATCTGGAGGCTGGAGAAATCACTTGAGGTCTCAGAACAGTCAGCCACAGCACAAAGGCATTGCCTCCCACCATCAGGAGGGACAAGAAGGAAATGGGCTGGGGAGGGCAGGGCCACCCTCACCCTGGAATTTGGGATTGTGTTTACAAGGGTCTGGGAGTGTAAATGTGGTAAGTGCTGAGACAAGTAGTAAAACCCAGCCTGAGGAGGCATCTCTGCCCAGTCCTGGGCCAGGACACTGCTCTCCTTACCAGCTGTGGGGAGGGCTGGGCCCAGGGTGGCCCCGAGAGGAAACTCATCTCGCCTCACTCGGGCTGACAGCTCAGCCTGACAGGCTCTGCAGGACACAAGACCAAGTGCTGGTGAGGGGAGAGGCCTGGCAACTGCTTTCCGTGGCCCCGGAGGGCGGGGGAGGGCAGGGGATGACAGACACCCCCACCTCCCTGACTGAAGGGCAGAGCCCTGCCCTGTCCCTGCAGCCCACCTTCCTGGGCTTGGCAAGCACCCCAGGCACCTGCCCACACTGACAAGCTCTCTGGGCAGAGAGCTTGTATAGAGTGTAGATTTTCAGGGTCCTACTTCTGCCTGGTCTATCCCGCAGGAACAACCTGAATGAAACAGGGGAAGGGTGGTGGCAGAGAGGGGTCTCGGGAAGCCCTGAAAGCAAGTCCTTGGTTGAATAATTTGGAGGGAACTCAGGGCCAGCTCAGGGGCCTACTCACCGCAGCTGGTCTAGGATGAGAGCAGCATCCCGAGCCAGGGCCCAGGTCTCTTGCAGCTGGGCAAAGACATCTTTGCGGGTGCCATCCTGCTCCAGGAGGCAGCTCTCCACCACAGCCCGCAGCTCCTGCTCCTGGGACACCTGGCCCTTCATGGCCTCTACCTCCTCACAGCGCTGGAGAGGGAGAGGTGGGAGGTGGGGCGGGCTGGCTGGCAGGCAAGCGGGCCAAGGATGCAGGAGACACGCAGCCGCTAGACACAAGGATCCACCCCCACCTCTGCCTGCCCCTCTCTCCTGGAATGAGACAGCCTGTCTCTACCTTGGAGTCTCTCCTGCTTTGGATCCTTTCCTGTGAGCCCTCTGGTATCCACACCACCCTCCTGTTCTCTGCCCTCATCCTATCTCTTCTTTCCTGTGTGCATCGGACCCCTTGCTAATGTGCCGTATCTTTCTGAGCCTTCTTCCTGTGGGTCTGCCTGTGTATCTCCCCTTCAGGGTAGGAGCTGTAATGCCCTCAGCCTTCACTGTCCTATCACTCACTGTGTCCTCTCTGTAGGTACATGTCTCCAGACACCTCTCTTGCCATTTCTGCACACCCCCTCCCCTGCTCTCCCACCTACTTTGTGCAGCTGGATGGCAAGCTCCTGCATCTCAGCTTCCAGCCTGTCGGCATAGGCTAGCTCCAGGGCATCACTGGGGGGGCGGGCGCTGCTGTGCCAGCGGGCAATGGCAGAAGTCATCTTCCTCTTGGGTCCAAACAATCTGCAGGAAGAATGGGAAAAGGACTCAGATCAGCATTAGCCATGTGGCAGAAGCTCAACAGACTATCCTTCCATCAAGATGGTTCCCCTAGGAGAGAGCCTAGCCTTGAAGAGGGAGAGTGGCCCTGGGATCCTATAGCAAACAGAAACAAAGGGCTGTAAGAAGTGATGACCTCACAGGAGGCTGCTCCCCACCATACTCCAACCCAGTCTCTACCTGGTCCCCTTCCCAGGTGGGCTGCTGCTTTAACTAAACAGGGAACTCAGCTGGCCAGCTCTGGGCTATGGATGACCGTCTGCCAACTCGGAAAGCTCTCAGAAGTGAGCACACAGAAAATATCTGGGTGCCCTAAACACATCACTGTCAGCTGGGCCAGCTCTGGAAGCCACAGGACCCAGGCCATCTGCATCTAGGCCAGGATCAGGGTAGGAATGGAGAGAGGACAGCTGACTATAGGAAGAAGACAGACCTCTAGAGAAGGCACTTTTTCCTATCCCAAGTCGGAAAGCTACAACGCCAGCTGGTCCCAGAACTTGGGCTGAAACAAGGGGCGTGCAGCCACAGATGGCCCGTCTGGACTCACGTGACGCCAATTTCCTTCAGGTCACTCTCAGTGAGGGTCAGGAAGATTCGAAGGTCCACATCCTGTTCCTCGAACAGCTGCAGGTACTTCAGACACCCGATTTGTTCCAGTAGTGTGGCAAGGTCCTAGGGGGCAGAGAGGCCAGGTCAGGGCATGGGCATGGCACAAAGACATGGGGACAAAAAAGGGCACATCGTGCAAGGAGGAGCCCATTTTCTCCTGCTAGGTGTGTATCGAGTTTTAAGGGGGAGATCTGAGCCCTGCTGATCCCCCAAGTTCAGCAGTGGGACAGTGACCTAACTGCAGAGAGCCCAAACTGCCCCCTCCTTGATCTGTGCCCTTAAAGCAGGAAGTCCAGAGAACTTTCCATTTATTTGTGCTTTGCAACTACCGTCTTCATTTCAGCCTAAAATACACCTTTAGTATTTCCTGTAGAGCAACAGTCTACGGACAACAAATTCATTTCATCTTTGTTTACCTAGTACTGTCTTAATTTCTCCTTCACTTTTGAAAGACAGTTTGTGCTAGATATAGCATTCTTGGTTGAGTTACTTTTCTTTATTTTGAATATGTCATCAAATGGCTTTCTGGCCTCCATGGTTTCTGATAGGAAAATTAACTGTTAATCATACTGAGATTCCTGTGTGGGTGATGAGTCACTCCTCTTTTTTCCTTCAAGATTCTCTTGTTTTTTTGACAGTTGGATTATGTTATGTCTAGGTCCCATCCTTGATGGATCTGAGTTTAACTACTTAAAGTTCATTTAGCTTTTTGAATGTGCGGATTCATTTTTTTTAAAATTAAATTTGGGAAGGTTTGGCTATTTTTAAGATTTTTTTTCTAGACTTCTGGTAAATATACTAGCACAGGCAGACATGGCTCACCACTTCCCACAACCACATCACAATTACAACTAATGTACAGAACTACCATCACTCGAACTGTCAGAAATCCAGTTGAATGGAAGTCTCAAAACTATGGAATTAAAGAAACCACATCCATCCAGATTGGTAGGAGGGGTGTAGAACAGGCTGGTCCCACACCCAGGCTGGTAGATAAAAATTTGGGAGCGATATCTCAGGGGTGAGGAGTCCCAGCCCCACACCAGGCGCCTCAGCCTCAGCCCAGGCAGGGTTCCAGTGCCAGGAAGACAAGTCCCCACAACTTCTGGCTTCAAAAACCAGCAGGGACTGAGTTGGTGGAAAAAACTTCTGGAGCCCCAAGAATTTCCTCTTAAAGAACCCACACATGGACTCCCCTAGTCAGACTCACTCCCCTTGAGCTCAAGCACCACACTGGGGTGGCAGCTTGAAAGGCACCACCGGCATATAAGGAGAAACTGGAGTGTCTGGCACCAAGGTGAGCAGAGGCCATTGTCCCTTTTCTAAGCATTACCACAACAGAGCGACAGAGCTGGCAAGCTGGACTCATATCTGAGAGTCTACAAACCTGGCTAACAGTTTTACCTGCCTGGGAGATACCTAGAGCTCTGCCCCACCCAACTCATGGGCCCTCCCAAGCTTGTTTTCCATAAATGAATGCCTGGTCTTGGCTTGTCCTGCTCAACTGCCTAAATCCTCTCTAATAAGCAAGAGCTGGCGTCCCTGAGTCCCAGGCCCAGCACTAGCAGCAACCAGCCTAGATTCACAGCTTGGAATCTCCAAGCCTAGCACAAGTAGCACACATCTCAGACTGCTTTATAGCCCAGGCACTGTGTCCCAGGCGAAAAAACAGGAGGGGGCTGATCTTGGCCTGTACCACCTGGGAAAGCCCAGGGCCAGCACCCCCAGTGGACAGCTACAGACCACACTGGAGCACCACCACCCTGCACCTGCACAGCTGATCCTCCACAGAGGGTGGAGTTTGGTGGTCAGTGGTCACGGCCAATCTTTGCAGCTGACTGGCCTGGGAAAATTCTTCCCATTGATCTGCCAACAGCAACCAAGGCTGAACTATAAGAGAAGGGTGTACTCAATCCACATGAAGGGCACACCTCAAGTACCCAGTTTGGGTGATAGGGGAGGTTGTGCCATTGGACCCTACAGGACATGTACTACATGAGGCCACTCTACCAAGACATGAAGTCAAAGCAGCTCTACCTAATACACAGAAACAGACACAAGGAGGCTGCCAAAATGAGGAGACAAACATGGCCCAAATGAAACAATACATTGAAACTCTAGAAAAAGAGCTAAATGAGCCCTGGCTGGTGTAGGTCAGTGGATTGAGCATGGGCCTGCGAACTGGATGATCGCAGTTTGATTCCCAGTCAGGGCACATGCCTGGATTGCAGGCCAGTTCCCAGCAGGGGACACACAAGAGGCAAACATACATTGATATTTCTCTCCCTATCTCGTTCCCTTCCCCTCTAAAAATAAATAAATAAAACCTTTTAAAAAAAAGAGCTAAATGAAATGGAGATAAGCAATCTATCAGATGCAGAGTTGAAAACACTGGTTACAAGGATGCTCAAGGAACTTAGTGAGGACCTCAATATAGCATAAAAAAGATCCAGTCAGAAGCAAAGGATACACTAATTGAAAGAACAATTTACAGGGAAACAATAGTAGTGTGGATGAAGCTGAGAATCAAATCAGAAATTTGGGACATAAGGAAGCAAACAACAAGCAATCAGAACAGCAAGAAGAAAAAAAGAATTAAAAAAATGAGGATAGTGTAAGAAACCTTTGGGACAACTTCAAGTGTTTCAACATTCACATCATAGAAAGCCAGAAGGAAAAGAGAGAAAGAACTTGGAAACCTATTTGAAGAAATAATGAAAGAAAACTTACCTAATTTGGTGAAGGAAATAGACATACAAGTCCAGGAGGCACAGAGAGGCTAAAGCAAGATGAATCCAAAGAGGCCCACTCCAAGATGCATTATAATTAAAGTGTCAAAGGTTAAAGACGAAGAGTGAATCTTAAAAGTAGCAAGAGAAAAGTTAGTTACCTAAAGGGGAGTTTCCACAAGACTGTCAGTTGATTTCTCAAAAGAAACTTTGCAGGCCAGAAGAGATGGGCGAGAAACAGTCATGAAAAGCAGGGACCTACAGCAAAGATTGCTCTACCCAGCAAAGCTGTCATTTAGAATTGAAGGGCAGATAAAGAGCTTCCCACACAAGAAAAAACTAAAGTTCATCATCACCAAACCATTTTTATATGAAATGTTTTTTTAAAATTTATTTTTAGAGAGAAGAAAAGGTAGGGAGAGGAGAAAAACACCAATATGTGGTTGCCTCTTGAGCACCCCATACTGGGGACCTGGCCTGCAACCCAGGCACACGCCCTGACTGGAAATCAGTCCAGCGACTGTTTGGTTCACAGGCCGGTACTCAATCCACTGAGCCATACCAGCCAGGGCTGAAATGTTGCCTTTTTAAAAGATTTTATTTCTTTATTTTTAGAGAGAGGAGAAGAGAGAAAGAGAGGCAAAGAAACATCAATGTGTGGTTGCCTCTTGAGCACCCCCTATGGGGGACCTGGCCTGCAACCCAGGCATGTGCCCTGACTGGGAAACACTCTAGCAACTGTTAGGTTCACAGGCCGGTACTCAATCCACTAAGCCACACCAGCCATGGCTATATGAAATGTTAAAGGGAATTACTTAAGAAAAAGATGATGATCAAAACTATAAACAATAGAATGACAAAAATACATATCTATCAACAATTTAATCTAAACAAACAAGAAGAACAGAGACAGAATCATGGATATGGAGAGTGTTTTGATGGCTGCCAGATGAGAAAGGGGTCTGGCGGAATGGGTGAAGAGGTAAGAATATTAAGAAGTACAAACAGGTAGTTCCGGGACAGTCGTGGGGATGTGAAGTACAGTATAGGGAATGGAGTAGTCAAGAATTTATACGCATGACACATGGACATGAACAATGGTGTGGGGACCGCCTGGGGGACTGGGGAGTGCTGAGTGGAGGGGGCAAAGGGAGAAAAATCAGGACAACCGTAATAGCACAACCAATAAAATATAATAATAAAGAAAAAATACATTTTTTCTACTTTCTGCTCCCTCTTCTGGAGCAGCGTATGTGCATGTTGGTATGCTTGATGGTGCTGCACAGGTTTCTGTTTATGTTTTTTCATTTCAATCTTCTGATTCTCAAATTGGATAATCTCAATTGATCTGTCAGGTTTTCTGACTCTTCTGCATGCTCAAATATGCTCTTGAGCCCCTCTAATGAAATTTTCATTTCAGTTTTTATGTAAACTTTTCAACTCCAGAATTTCTATTTGGTTCATTTTATTAGTCATTTTCTCAATTTTCTCTATTTAGATGTGGTTTCCTTTAGCTCTTGGAACATATTTTTAAAAGCTTGTTTAAAATCTTTGTCTATGACGGGGTGGTGAACACACAATACAGTCAATATACAGATGACGTATTATAAAATTGTACACCTGAAACCTATGTAACTTTATAAACCAATGTCGCCCTAATACATTCAATAAATAAATTTTAAAAATTGAAAAGAAGTCTTTGTCTAATAAGCCCACTCTCTAGGCTTCCTCAGGGATAGCTTCTACTATTATTGCCTTTTCCTACCCTCTATGAGCCACGTTTTCTTATTCTCTGCCTATCTTTTTTTGTTATTGAAAACTGGACATTTTAATGCAGTAACTCTGGAGATCCAATCCTCCCCCCTCTCCAGGGGTTACTGTCTGTATTCTTTCTGGTCGGTGGCCACTGAAGTCTCTACTCAGCTTAGCAGTCTGACAGAGATTTCTTTAAACACTGGAACCCATTTCCCAGTCTTTGCCAAATAACTCTGCATGCTTGTTGGGCACGTCTTCAACACTCAGCCAGCCAAATGGCGACTCTGTCCTAACCTTTGCTTCCTGCTTGCTCAAAGCCTCAAGATCATCAGAGGTGTTCTCGGGCCTTTCCTGACCATACGCACAGCCTTGAGCATGTATGTGGCCTCTTAGACTCCCAGGAATGAGTCAGAGCTTTTCAAAACTCCTATGGACATTTCCTCCCCCAGTTTTTCTTTTTAAGCTTTGTGTTAATCTGTATACTTCAACTGTTATCCAACACTTCGGATAGCTGCAAAGTTAAAACATTTCCCTGTGATTATTTTCGACACACGTCCTCCAAGGAGAAGGTTTTTGGTGTTGAGCACACAAGCTCTCGGTCAAGTCAAATACAGCCTTATAAGCATGTCTACCAGGGAACCATCAGACAGGTCTAGTAATGTGAATTCTTTGAGACTGAAACTTTGAAAGCACTCCAGTTCTGCTCTTCCCCCCTCCAGTGACTGTCACAGCTACCCTAGCATTTAAGGGCTCAAGAGATGTGGCTGCTTGTGGAACTTGGGAGTATAGGCTCCCCCAGGGATGGGGCGGGGGGAGGTGACTGCAAAGAGAGGCAAGCAAAATCACAGGCTTCTAGTAAATAGCAGAGCTGTGACTTGAACAAATAAATGGCAAGTATGTACCTCTCTGTCTTTCATCTTTGCACCATATATGTCCAAAGAGGGCAAGAGAACTCAATAAATGCACATTAGACAGTTGAGCTGCTGTGTCATACCTGTGATCCCTAAGAAATTGCTTAGCTAGAGTAACCCTTAATGAGAAAGACAGAAACAGCAATTTTTTTCTTTTTAAAAATATTATTTACCAATTAGATTGCAGAGAGAGAGAAACATCCATTTTTGCTGTACTTATTTATGCACTCATTGGTCGATTCTGGTATGTGCCCTGACTGGGGACTGAGTCTGCAACCTGCTGTGTCACCATGATGCTCTAACCAACTGAGCTACCTGGCCAGGGCCAGAAACAGCAATTTTCATGAAGTGCACACTATGTGTCACTTTGTCTCTGCCTCACCTACATCTTGTCACTGACTCCTGAAAGCAGCTCTATGAGATTAGTCCTGTTTTTTCCCTCCCCAGGCTCAGGGGGGCTAAGTCAAGTATGGAAACGAGTATGGTCACCAAAGGCAGAGACAGGTCCCTCCTGGGAAGGGACAGGCACAAACCCTGCAACTGGCACCTCCAACCTTAGGACTCTCTCAGCCCAAAAAGCTTTACAGATCATTTGGGGGAAAGCCACCACCACGCTCTTCTCTCAACAACGCCTAGCCCATCAAAAGCACACAATAAAGCCTCATGAATCACAAGAAGCACAATCTTTCTAATGATGTAACCACCAGTTTCACAAATGATCTTACCTGGGGTCCCGAATAGGGAAACCTCTCGGTCTGGGGGACAGATCCTGGAGGACAGGCTGCCCCAGACGTCCCTGTGCTGGGAGGCCACTGGTTTTCACTGTTGCTGTGGCGATTCTTGATCTTCATATAACTTTTTGCTTGTTTGCGAACTGAGCTTTTACGTGCATTATCTGAATCCTATGGCAAGAGGTGTGTGTTTAAAGTTAACACTGCAAGACTGATCATCAGGGAAATACAAACTAAAGCCACAGTGAGGTATCGTGTCACACCTGTCAGGATGACTGTCATCAATAAACTAACGGCAAGTGTGGGCGAGGATGTGGAGGAAAGGGAACCCGCGTGCCCTGTTGGGGGGACTGTAAATGGCTAACTGGTGCAGCCACCATGGAAAACAGTACAGAAATTCCTAAAAAAATGAAAAACAGTGCTGCCATATGATCTAACAATTACACATTCTGAGTATTTATCTGAAGAAAACAAAACTAATTTGAAAAGACAGATGCACCCCATTGTGACTGCAGCATTACTAGTAAATAGCCATTATTTGGAAGCAACCTAGGTGTTCAACAGATAAATGGGTAAAGAGGACATGGTACATATATACAATGAAATAGTATTCTTATTCAGCAATAAGAAAGATTGAAATCTTGCTATAGGCAACAACATGGGCAGATGTAGAGGGTATCACTCTAAGTGAAATAAATCAGAGAAAGGCAGACCATATGATTTCACTTGCATATTAATTCTAAAAAAACAGAACAGAAACAACCTAGATACAGAGAACGAGCTGATGATCCCCGATGGGGACCTGGGGGTGGGTGGGAATAGTAATGTGTACAGGAAGAGTGTGTGAGCTTTGGCGCTGGCCCAAACTGGTTTTATACCCCAGTTCTGTTACTAATTAGTTGTGAAATCTTGGGCAAATCCTTTACAAGAAAATAAAACCCAATCCCAAGTGTCCACAAGAGAACTGCTCAAAAAATAAAGTAACACAGCCCTGGCCAGTAAGGCTCAGTTAGTTGGAGCATCATCCGGAAAACCGAAAGGTTGCAGGTTCAATCCCTGGTCAGGGCACATGTCTGGGTTGCAGATTTGATCACTGGTCAGGGGTGCAAATGGGAGGCAACCAATCAATGTTTCTCTTTCTCCCTCTCTCCCCTTTCCTCTTCTCTCCAAAACAAGAAATTTAAAAGGTCCTTGTGTGAGGATAAAAATAAGCAAACAAACACTGAAGGTCTCACAGCTGACACGCTGCATATAAACTGCTCCCTGCCCTCCGTCTGTGCCACTCAGCTTCTACCTCGGTCTGGGCCGCTTTCCTCGCAGAGTGGGTGAGGTCTGGAACTCCCCCCGCCTGCCACACACAGGCTACCACTGAGGTCACCTAAACCCAGGTGGTTCTCCGGAGGGTGGCCCTGGACCCTACATGTCCTAGCCAGCACAGTCATGCACGTCCTTGTTACGAGACTTGTCCATCTCAAATGAACTGTTAACATCCCCCATGACACCAAGAAAGGGGAAGGGCATGAGACAAGAAATAAGGAGAAGCTTTACCTCATTGCTCTCCAAAGAGGCCTCGCTGCTGACTCCTGGGGCTCTTGCCAGGCCCTCGCTGCTGCTGCTGCTCCGCACAGCCCCGAGGTGAGCACAAAAGGCCTGCTCTTCTGACAACGGTGAAGACAAGGACAGCTGACTAGAGGTCTCACTCACAGTGCCTCCCCAGAGCCTGAGCTGTTTCATCAACTCCTTAGATGGTTTACTGTGTCCTGTTTCATGCTGACTGCCTGGCCTGCACCCTCCCCTCTGCACACACAGGCAGGGGATTTTGTCTGTTCTGTTCATCGGTAAATTCAAGCATTTAGAACAATGCTTGGCACACAGGGCACTCAGTGAACAGCTGCTGAAGGAATGATACATGGACTCTAACAAAGACATTACATTACCCTGAGGGCTCACCAATCAAGAAGATAAACCTCCCCTAGATCCTGCGTGGAGATGCTGGAAGCTTCTTCCCTCCTGTGCCCATGCCAGATTCTTTGACTTCTCAAAAGAGCCAGAGCCTTCTACATCTTTCACTCTCTTATTCTCTACTGGATAGATGCATCGCAGCACCCAAGCCCCAGCAGGATGGGTGGGGGCAGGGACACAGGAATCCTAAACCCAACAAAGCCTCCAGCCTGGCGGTGTGGGGTGGAGTGGGGTGGGGTGGCACACATACCCCGGCTGCTGCTGCTGCTGCTCTCCACATCCCGATCGTTGATGGGGGAGGTGACATCCCTGTAGCAGAGACCTTCCCCTACCAGGAGGTTCTCATCACTGCTGTTAAAGGTGACATAGCCCTGTGGAGGCACCTGCTCTGTGAAAAGAATGGGGCCCATAAACCCACAAGAATACAAAGGGAAGATAAGCCCTGATCAGTACAGCTCAGTTGGTTGGATGTCATCCCATAAAGTGAAAGGTCACTGGTTCGACCCCTGGCAGGGGCACATGCCTGGGTTATGGGCAGATCCCTGGTCAGGCGTGTGAGAGAGGCAACCTATTGATGTTTCTCTCCCTCTCTGTTTCCCTCCCTTTCCCTCTTCCCCTCTCTCTGAGAATAAATAAATAAAATATTTATTTAAAAAAAGGGACGACAAATTCCTCCTTCCAAATGTGACCACATCCTCGGAGGAACCTTGGTGTGAAGAAAGACCCAGGATTTAGGCAGGCCAGGAGGAAGTCCGTCTTCCTGGCCGTCACCTCATCCACTCACCACAGTAACCTGCACATACTGTTACATGTAGTTTGCAGGTGAGGAGACAGGCTCTGAGGGGTGAAGAGACCAATCTTGTGTCCCACAGCAAGTGCACGGTGGAGTCAAAGCACTGGTCAAGCCTGGTGCCCTCTCCCACACCACGCTCTTTTCCAAATGCAAAGAGTAGCCCTGGCTGGTGTGGCTCAGTGGATTGAGTGCTGGCCTGTGAACCAAAGGGTTGCTGGTTCAATTCCCAGTCAGGGCACATGCCTGGGTTGTGGGCTGGGTCCCCAGTTGGGGGTGCATGAGAGGCAACCACATATTGATGTTTCTTTCTCTTTCTCCCTCCCTTCCCCTCTCACAATAAATAAATAAATAAATAAATAAATAAATAAATAAATAGATAGATAGAAATCTTTAAAAAAAAAAAAAAAAGGAGTAGAAAATGGTAAGCTGTGTTTTCGATCTCCTGAGCTCCAGAAAAACTACACTAATACTAGGTGTCCCTTTTAGCTAGAAGTATCTAATCTCACAAACCAGCCTTTCCGGTCCCTGTGACTTTGAGGGTTTCCTCTTCAGGTCAGTCAACTCCATGTGAAAGGAGATCTGGCTGAGCAGGAAGGCTGGAGGCCCTGGGCTAAAAATTAACTATAATAATACCAGATTACACAACCTTTGAAAGTATCTGCCTGCAAGAAAACGAGAAAATACAGAACACAAACCAAAGAGAGTTCCATTCCAATTCCCCTGCCCCTTCCTTACAGAAAGTACATTTATTTGCATAAAACAGACTGGCTGATGGAGCCATGACTAACTTATTTTCTTCCTTATAGTTTTCCGTAGTTATTCAGGCTTTTTACAACCTGCATATTTACCATTCATAAATGTTTTTTGCAATTGTTGGCGAAGAACATGTAGACCTGTAGAAAATTTAAATATCACAGGTATAAGAGAAAACAAAATTCTCCTGAAATGCCACAACCAAGAGTCAACTATATCATTATTTTAGTAAATATTCTTCCAGTCTTCTCTGTGGGTACATAAAAAAAATGTGTACAAATGAGCTATGGCCATGGATTATTTGGTAAATTGAAAGAATTCCATTAAAAAAAAAGATTTGTTGGATGGCTACACAGATTAACCGCACTCTGTCTCCAGGGTAAATCCTATGTCCCAACCATATCTCAGGGTGGGACAGGTAGAATGGATTCCTCAGGAAAGAAAAAAATAGCCTGCCACTCAAAACTAAGACAACTCAGCCAAACATCCCAGAGCCCTGTGCTTATAAGCACATTAGAACAGGAAGGATATGATCCACACCCTCACCCTACAGCAGGAGCTTGACAACTGCTATTCGAGGGCTGGATTCCCCAGTGGCTCAGTCAGCCCACCCCACCAAGGACATCAGAAGTTGGGCCTCAGATTCCCAACCCAGGATTCCTTCCAAGGTTCTTAGAAGGAAATCAAGTTACTGACACTCTTGACTGAAATATGATCTCCTCTGACTAAGGAAAGTTGGTTTCTTCCAAACCCAGGCTTCAGAGGAATGTTTGTTCATGAAAGGGGCCTATCTACCCAGCCCGCTAGACCAGCACCTTGGCCTGGCCACTGCTGGGTGACAGACATTAAAGGACGATGTAACCTGTGTGCAAGTCTTATCACTTGGTCAGTTCAGAGCAAGAGCGTGAGCATAAAACCCAACCTGTGCCCTGCCCAGGTGGCTCAGTTGGCTGGAGCATCATCCCATACACCAGAAGGTAGCGGGTTCAATTCCTAGTCAGGGCACATGCCTAAGTTGTGGGTTTGATCCCTGGTTGGGGCGAGTACAGGAGGCAACCAATCAATAGGAGGTAACCAATCAATCAGTTTCCCTCTCACATCGATATTTCCCTCCTCCCCTGCCCTTCCTCTCTCTCTCTCTAAAGTCAATAAACACAGCCTCTGGTGAAGATAAATAAAAAAAGGACGACTTGCCCCAAGGACTACTGGTGCCTCCCTCACTCCCCAAGAACACTATACTCAACATTCAGGAGCTGACAATTTGAGAATAAACTCAGAAGATCTGGAAACTTGGGGCCTAAGATCCTAGCCCACCAAGAGCACCATGCCACAGTTCTCAGAGGGATCTGAGCATCAAACTCATCCTCTGGAGAAAAGAGCAAGAGCGCAGTCATTCCTAGGCCTGGCCCAGAGGCATATCCATCTCAAGCTGAAAAATGTGGTAAGTATCATGCTCAGGTGCTATGGCCAGAGACAGGAAGTAGGGTTCAAAGGTCACACTGTTCCTGCACTAGCTAACTCACTGTGTGATGAATGAAATCTGAGCCTAGCTACATCTCTGCTGCTCTTAATTTATAATTTTAACCAATGAAAAGACTAATCAAAGGATGAACACAAATCCAAGATCCAGCCACACCTAATGTATTTCCATCACTGTCATCAAATTTGAGTCTTTGAGCTGCTGCTCTTACCCAGCGACCCGCATTTCAGGAGCCTGAGTTATTCTTCTCATCCAGACAGAATCCTTGAAAGCACTATCAAAAAGCATCAGGGAATGTGGAATGCTCACCATAGCAAGAAGGCTGGGTCTTGCCCCCAAGTCCAATAGCTGTGATCCTGGCCAAGGCCCGAGGCCCCTCATGGATGCTGAGGCCCTTCTTCCGACAGGGCCTCTGTCTCTGAGGAACAGGGCAGGATTCATCTGAAGAGCTCAGATCTTCATATTTTTCTGTGGGTCAAACACAAAAATGTAGACAATCCGTCCAGTGATAAACCAGTTTACTAACCCTCATAGTAAACTGGAAGAAAAATCATTCATAATTGGTTTTCTTAAATTAAGAACAAAACTATGTTTCCTAAAACGTCATTTGTAAGAAATGCCATAATAGGATTTCCAGTCGAAATGGTAGAGTAGAATATTGAATGTCAACTATAATTGAAAAAAAATTTTTAAAAAATTTTTAAATAGAACTTTTAAAAAAGATGCCATAATGGGCCAGTCCACTGCTCAGATGGGCTATGGCACAGGTGGCAAACACAAGGCCTGTGGCCACATCCTCCAGCCCCCGCCTTGTTTTATCCGGCCCAGCCCTTTGTTTCTACCTGGTGGCAGTGCCGAGCTCCTTGCCCCTAGTTAAGGGGTAGTTACATCTGCACAGTCCTAAAACTACATTCGGCCCTTTGAAGGCAACTGTGAGGCTATTGTGGTCCCTGGGGAAAATGAGTTTGACACCCCTGGGCTATGGGTACATCTAGGGGAACAGCAAATCTCTTAAGTATGAGCTAACTGAAAAATTCTGTCACAATGGGGGAATCTAAATTCTTCTTTTTAAAAAGAGTTTATTTACTTATTTTTAGAGAGGGGAAGGGAGGGAGAAAGAGAGAGGGAGAGAAACATCAATGTGTGGTTGCCCTCACATGGCCCCCACTGAGGACCTGGCCCACAACCCGGGCATGAGCCCTGACAGGGTATTGAACTGGTGACCCTTTGGGTTTGCAGCCTGCGTTCAATCCACTGAGCTACACCAGCCAAGGCTACTTCTTCTTCTTCTTTTTTTTTTTAGGAATTAATTTATTTTTTATAGAGAGGGGAAGAGAGGAAGAAAGTGAGAGAGACACTTCAATGTGCTGTTGCTTCTCAAGCGCCTCCTGCTGGGGACCAGGCCCCCAACCCAGGCATGTGCCCTGAGTGGGAATTGGACCTGTGACCCTTTGGTTCACAGGCCAGCACTCAATCCACTGAGCCACAAAAGCCAGGGTTAAATTCTTATTTCTTATTCTCCTAATTTTCTGGGTTTGAAGAATTTTTTAATAACAAGTATGTACTATGTTTACAATTACAAATAAATTTTGTTCTGACTTTCATCACATATGGCAGCATCACCATGACTTAGTGTGTTCATACTCTCGACCTGAACAACTTCCTGGGAAACGAGTACCACACGAGACCTCAGTGCAATGTTTAGGAAGCACCTCAAATCACCACCCATCTGAGCTTAAATGCTCAGCATGCCCCACAACCATTACTGTTTTACCGCTTTTCACAGTTTCCTATATTTTGTCATACCCTGAAGGCAAAATTCATGGATACATTTGTATCAGGCTCTCTCACCTGACACAATCCCATTTTGGAGTTGGTAAAGTGGGGCAGACACATGGAAAAGTACCCCCTTACCACTGCACACCACAGGAGCTAGTGTTTATTACAAAACAGTCCTGGGGCCAGAAAGAGAGCTGAGCAAAACCAGACCCTGGAAAGGGAGCAGGCTCACTCACATGTGAATTGAGAGCTCAACTCTTAGCAACTGCCCAGCAGGTCAGGCAGTTACTGACGCAGGTTCCAAATGCGGGCCGGTGACCTGAGTGGACCACCACTCCCTCCTTTCCCTATTCGACTCACTCCCATCTGCTCCAGGATCTACGTCACCAGGAGGAGACCAGGGTTCTGTTCAAGCAGAAGACGTAGTCAATAAAAAGTAAAGGGACAAGGGAGAGGGGACCAAGGAAAAGGCAGCACTCCATGAATCTGAACTTTCTAACATGTTCTCTCAAGTATGCACCAAGCAGCAGGAATGCAGAGAGAATCTCACAAATCCCACACCTTCGACCCGACCTAGACCACAGAGAGCACCGCCAACTTCAAAGATCCCGCCCCTGTGAGGAGCAGACAAATGTCCCTCTCCAGCAAAGAAATATCCAACTCGCTCACTTCTATTTTCTGTGGGGAACAAAGCAGGTCTAGGATAAATCACTCAAAGGACAGATGAGGGAAAGAAGTGCCAATGTCATTCCCAAAAAGATGAAGTCCACTCTATGGGCAAAAATACTGTAAAAAATCCTGGTGGAGCAGAGCACTATCACGAGGAAGTGACTTAGGAATGCACGTGGCATGGAGGGGACAGTCAGAGGCGCAGCAGGCCTTCTGGGGAGAGACGCCTTCTGGAAATGGGTGGTAAAGGGAAAAAGCAGGCAGGGGGAGTTCAGGATCTAGCAAGACAAAATTTTATCAAGGGATACATAATGCTTGGCTAACTACATCCCACTCCAAAAAAAAAAAAGAAAAAGAAAAAGAAAGGCCACCTAGTAAAGAGGCTGTCCCTGGACACTGGGGAGGAGGGAGCTCCTGGACTGCGATTCACACACTAGCCAGACCACCAAGCCCTGCCTGTGAAATGCAGGAGCACCAGTGATCTTCGCCTACACACAGTCACTACTGGGGGCACATAGAAATGGGAATCAAACGCTCAGCAAGTGAAAACATTCCCTTTCTCCAAAACTCAACCAATGAGGAAGCGGGAGAAACCGTGACAAAACACTGAACTCCGAATCCTTCAACAGCATCTGAGGACAGGAGAAAGCACCCTGAATCAGAAATCCAAAACTGAGGGCAAAAAGACACAGTCACATACAAGGGTGAGAAAACCGACTGAACTTAGGGGAAAAACAGAAAAAAGAGTCAAAATTAAAAAATGAAAACTATATTACCAAGTGCCCAGATATGAAATGGAAACAGATATGAAATGGAAACTGAACCGCAAGTGTTGAAGAAAATTACGAAAACCAGGAAAGAACGAGTTAGATAGATAAAGAAGTAACCGCTGAAATAACCATTGAAACAGAAGAAACTTTTAAAAGCAGGAGGAACAAAAACCTATTTTTAGGCCTCTATATGGATGAACTTGAAATCCAGGATGAAATGATTTTTTAGGAAAATACAGTTTACCAAAATTGACACCGGTGAAATCAGAAAGCTTAAGCATACCAATTTCTATAGAAGAAACAAAAAAAGCCATCGAGGAACCACCCCCGAAAAAGGACCAGGCCCAGATGGTTCAGCAGGAGAATCCTACCACATCTTCAAAGGCCATGGGGCTCCAATGCTGCAAAAATTGTTCTAGAGCACAAAAAAGGAAGAAAAGCTTCCAGATTCTTTTTATGAAGCAACTATAATATTGATAACTATGCCTGACAAAGACAGAACAGAAGAAAATCACAGACCAATATTAATTACAAATGAATGGCTATATAAAACACTAAATAAAACATTAGCAAACAATCAAACACCACATTAGGAAAGTAATACACCAAATGACATTTACGCACCAAGTGAGAAGGTAAAGTTGGTTGTTATTAGAAAATTCATTAATATGTGTTAATAGATCTAAAGAGAAAATTCACTAATATGTGTTAATAGATCTAAAGAGAAAATTCACAAACATTTCCATAGATGTTGAAAAAGGCTTTGATAAAAGTCAACATTTATTACTGTAGAAAACACTCAAGAATATAGGAAATTACACTTTCTTATTCTTTCTCATTGATTTTAGAGAGAGAGGAAGGGAGAGAAAGAGAGAAAATCATTAATTTGCTGTACCACCCATTGATGCATTCATTGGTTGATTCTTGTCTGTGCCCTAACTCAGCATCGAACCCGTAATTGGGATGATGCTCTAACCAACTGAGCTGCCCAGCCAAGGCAACAGATACTTTGTTAACATCATAAAATATATGTGCACCTCACTCTTAAGTCAGTATCTTACTTAATGTGGCATTTCCACTCAGGTCAGGACCCAGTGAATGTCCACTGTCTCCACTATATTCAACACTGTACTAGAAGTATTAGTCAATGAAACTAAAAATCAGAAAGAAGTTGTAAATCTAACTCTATTTGCAGATTATATGGGAGTATACCTGGAAAACCCCAGAGAATCAATAAATAAAACTAACTCAAACAATGAAAAGAACTCAGTCAGGCAGCAGAATATAAAATTGGTATACATGCCCTGACTGGTGTGGCTCTACTGGTTGGGTATCGTCCTGCAAAGCAAAAAGTCGCAGGTTCATTTCCCAGTCAGGGCACATGCCTGGGTGGCAGGTTTGGTCCTGATCAGAGTGCATATGAGAGGCAACCAATTGATGTTTCTCTCCTTCTCTTTCTCCCTCCATGCCCCTCTAAAAAATAAATTTAAAAAGTATTTAAAAAATTGGTATATAGACATCAATAGCTTTCACATTCACAGACAAGCAGTTAGAGGACATGATGGTAATGAAACCCCATTTATAACAGCAACAAAGAAAATCAAACACTTAGAAATACACTTAGGTTATGCAAAATGAAGATCAGAAAAAAATTTCAAACTCTCCTGTAAGACACAAAAATGCAGAACAAAAGCACACTCCTTTTGTTAGCTGGAATGACTCGACAACATAAAGGGGTAGTTAGTTTATAAATCTGCCACAGTCTCAACATCAACACACTGTTTTTAAGGAACTAAAGTTGATGTTCAAGTTCACACACAAAAAGCTGTCACTAGGAAAACACTGAAAAAGCAGAGCTACAAGGGAGACCAGCCGTATTAGATTGTAAAACATATTACAAAAAGCCTCTATAATTAAAGCAGTGTGGCTCTGGTGTGTGAATAGACAGACCAAGAACAGAATAAACAGTCCTCAGCACAAATAGAAATTTTGTGTGACAAAGACAGCTTCTCAGATCACTAGGTCAAAGCTAGACTTTTAAATAAATATGCTAGGACAACTGGAGAGCCATTTGGGAAAAAAAACAAAAAAAACTACCTATACCATACATGAAAATAAAGTGTAAATGGGTCAGAGATCTCAATGAAGAAAATTAAACCATGCCAGTACTATAAGGAAACATGGGTGAATTCTTATTTTTTTAATTTAAAAAATTGTTTTAATCCTCACCCGAGAATATGTCTTTTTTTAATTGATTTTAGAGAGAGAAAGAGACATCAATCAGTTGCCCGACCAGGGATCGAACCCACAACCTAGGTATGTCCCCTGACCAGGAATCAAACCCATAACCTTTTGGTGTATGGAATAACTCTCCAACCAACAGAGCCACCCAGCCAGGCCAATAGGTGAATTCTTATACAACCTGAGCACAGGGAAAGATTTTTTGTGACCCTAAATCCAAAGGAAATAAAAAAGATTGATGAATTTACTATATAAAATTAAAACATTCTGCATGGCAACAAATACCATAAAAGTCAAGAAACAAACACCAGAAGCTAACAAAACAAAACAAACCCAGAAGCCAGCCCCTTTATGAGGCTGTGCTCCTATCCCTGGGTGGGCACCACATACCCACATCTGGTGTACCCAAATTCAGCCTGGCAGGCGCCAGTCTACAGACTAACTAACTTGTCCTCTCCCATTAGACAAGCAGGCCTCAACCTTGACTGCATAATGGAATCGCGAGGAGAGATACAGGTTTGGCAAGACTGCAGGAGCCAAATCAATCAAAGCAGGTGAGAACAAGGGGCGGGATTCCAGCAGAGGGTGAAGCCACAGATGGGTACCTGGGCTCCGATAGAGGCTCTTGGGCAAAGAAAGTGAGTGAGCATCTATCAGCCCCACTATCTTCATGTGTCCATACTGCTTGGCCAGCATTCGGGCTGTGGCTCCACTGTGGTCTCTCGTGTCCACTTTGACTCCCTGTGAAAGTTAGTAAAAGAACAAGAATTAAGGATCTCTCCTGAGAAGCACCCTCACTTCTGGGGCTATGGACCCAGGACAAGAGGTACAATGGCTTATCACCACCTTGGAAAGGTCTATACCCAAGATCCTCGAAAACGTCACAACTTTGAGAGAAAAGGCAAAGGTCTGTGTGGTCTCTCATTGTCAATGCTAAAACTGGGGGTATGGGGAGGTGCTTATTGGATCATCATACATGGCAGTAATCCAGCCATCTCATAGCTGAGGCAGCTCTCCAAGTTCACTGCTTTGGCTTTCAGCTGCTCTGGGAAGGCAGATACTTAAAGGAAAGAGGCAGTCAGGTGCTGCTCCAGGTGAGAAGGATGACTCAGGCTGCTGTGCACTGAGAAACTGCCTACACCCTTGGCACCCAGTCGTGCACCCACCTTGCTTCATTCTCTTCACACAGAAAACTGAAACAACAGATTTCCTAGAGAAGCAGTCTTTAAAAAACATAATCAGGATAAGAGTGCCGCCATTCTGAAACAGAATTTGGTAACTTTTATCCTAAGCCCTAAAAAGTACTTATAGTCTTCAGTACAGTAATTCCACTTCTGCAACTTCGTCCTAAGGAAAAAAAAACCCAAATACAGAGAAAGGTTTTATGCACAAAGATGTTTATTTAGCACAACATATTCGCAATAATGAAGACCTGGCAATAACTTAAACGTTCGGGGTGGAGAGTCCACTATGTTACTGTCAAAAGGCACAAATTGTCAATTATAACATAAATAAATGCTAGGGACGTAAACTATAGTTAACACTACTGTATGATGTACAAGAGTTGTTAAGAGAGTATATCCTAAGAATCCCCATCACAAGGAAAACAAAATACATACAGGGTTGGGCAAAAGTAGTTTTACAGTTGTATGTGTAGGAGAACATTCTGCATGGCGTGGGCCCAGCTCCCACTTGGAGATGCATAGGACCCACATCCACAGATAGGTTCTCCCGTGGGGAATCAGGCCTGCATTGTACCTAGACTGCTATGAGACTTGCTAAAACTCCCTCACCCTGAATTGAGGCCACAAGTGCTTACTGTAACTTCCCAAAGTCTGTGCTAAGGCTTCCAAGGAAGAGTAATCAGTTCAACCACTTTTCCCTTTGCATTTGCAAATATTCTTCTGTGATGTGATTAGCAGCATTCTCTCCTCTGTTTTCTGTAAAAGGTAACCACCTAAAGTGGACTTGTACATAGTAAATGAGGACCATCATGTAATGTGCCCAGAAAAGCAACAAAAGCCTGTCAAAGGCAAGGGGTGAGGCTTTTCGCCTCTTGAGAGAGAAGCTGCGCCATCCCTTTTTCTCCACAGGACTCGGGAGTCGGTGTGAATTTGTCATGTCTCATCCACAATGTTGTGGACCCCACGAGCCGGGGTCCACATCAAGTATGAAAAACAGTTTGTCCTTATATTACTGTTCATTAATTATTGTATTATTTATACAACTAAACCTACTTTTGTCCTACCCTATATATATATTATCTATATGAAATGATAGATAGTAACTAAATTTATTGTTGTAATCATTTCATGATACACATAAGTCAAATCAACTCACACAGTGATATATGTCAATTATCTCAGTAAAACTGGTGGGAAAAAAGATAATTTCTAGTTTGAGTTTGATAGAAGAAATCCAAAGGTTTCACCCATAACAAACAATACCATCTTTACTGTAGGGTTTTAACTAATATCTGTTTTTAAGCCTGAAAGATTTTAACTTCAGGCTGTACTAAAGCAACACTATTCCCTAGCAAGAAATGAGGAAGAAAAGAGAACCAAGAACAAGAAGGTCCATGAGGTAAGGAAAAGAATATTAAATTTCTATTTACCCTTTAAATGTTTTTTCTTCCTATTTTATAATGTATATAATATATTACTAGAAAATTACATGATCAAAATTCACAGGGATCAGTTTAGAGACCAGGACCAGTGTGACAGTGGGTGCACCTATCAGGTTGAGGGTCACTGGATCGACATTCAGCTGCCCACTGAGAGAGGCCCAAACACACCCCGATCATTCTGCCCAGAGTGAGCTGGTGGAGCCTGGGCCCACTGGGAGGAAGGGACACGGAGTGCCAGGGAAGCAACCAGAGCCCTTTCCTTCCCTGGTGAAGAGCACAGGGTGCCTTGCCTCAGCCATTTGTCCATCTTCAAGAATGAAGCCTGGCTACTGAAGGGCAGGTCAAGAGACCCGGTGGGTCAATCCCTCTGGCTGACCTTGACCTAGCAGGAGGAGATCTGCAAGGAATAAGGAGTGGCCACACAGGGCAAGCTGGACAGCCTCCCCAGCAGTGGAACAATCTGGCCCATCAGCCACAAGCTCCAGGCTGTGTGCACCAGCCCCTTCAGCCAGAAAGCAATAGCTTGAAATTGACCAATTCAATTACTGATTCAATTACTGATTAGGGGTCTGGCAGAAAAACCGTTAATTTCCTGAGTTTGATAAATGTATGTGCTTATGAAAAAATTTATTTTTAGGAAATACATATGAAAGTATTTAGAGGGGAAAGGGCATATGTCAGCACTTATTTTCAAATGATTTTTAAAAGACTACGCATATAAATATACAGAGACATAAACTGTTAACACCAAGGAGCTAGCAAAAGTATGCAAAGTCTTTGCACTACTTTGTGACGCTTCTTTAAGTCTGAAATTATGTTACAGTTTAATTTTTTAATTTTCCAAAAGAAATCCAACACAATCTGTTTCCTTCGATATAAGTTGCCCACACACAATCTCAGGCCCAGCTGAATAATAAAGGAACCCAGAGCACCAAACGGGGGTGTAATGTGCATGGCAGATACAAGATCTAACGTCTCTGACTCACCAATATGTTTTCCACTTAAAGTACTACATAAATCACTGTCTCTTACAATTTCCAGTTCTACCTTATTTAAAATCAGGTAAATAAATACATAAATAAATAAATAAAAAACAAATCAGTCTCTGGCCCTGACAGGTGTAGCTCAGTTGGCTGGGCCTCATCTGGGGGGTCAGGGGCGTGCAAGAGGCAACCGATTGATGTTCCTCTCACATATCAATGTTTCTCTCCCTTTCTTTTTCCCTCTTCCCCCCCCCTAAAGATAAATAAATACAATCTTTTTTAGAAAATCTGACTCTAAACTCAGAAGTAGAGGTTATGCTTCTTGCAGTTCTGGGCTCCTACTCATCTGTTCTTTTTTATTTGTCTTAGTTTTTTTGTTTGTATTTATTACTTTTTCTGCCCATCTATTTTTGGCCCTAGACTATGTCTTAAGGATCCTAGTCCATGTGAGTAGACTTACCTTCAAAGAATAATTATCTGTAGAAAAGGGAGCCCAAATAGCCAATAGTATATGAAAAGATGCCCAACCTCACCAGAAATCTAGAACAGTAAAAACTGATAGGAGACAGCTCATCTGATACCATGCAGCAAGTGTTACTGAGGGTGTGGGAGACAAGAACTATAAAATACTATCAGAAAAGTGTGAACTGGCACAACTATGGAAGAAAGCAAATTAACACTCTCTAGTGCAGATGCACCCACGCTACCCACCAAAGTTCTACTCTGAAGACTATATCCTGACCTTCTACAGAAATCCCTTCATATGTGCTTAAGACAGGTAGAAAGTGTGAGTAGAAAGTGCAGCACTGTTAGAAATAGCAAAGTGAATATGACTTAAATGTCCATTAAAAAAGGATAAATATATTCATATATTCAGTAAGCACGGAGCTGCTAAAGTGAGTGAATGACATCTACATTTACCAACACTGTTGAATGACACATACAGTCTGGTACATTATTTATACAAACCTTTAAAATACATAAAACAAGTCTATGCACTGCTTAAGGACACACAGTATGTGATGAAAACACCAAAATCAGAGGTAGGAGAGATACAGCCCAGCATCTGGATAGTGGTGACCTCTGGATCATATGGATTAGCTGTATTAGCTTCTATGTTTTTTAATATGTTTAGAGTACTTCAAAATGTAAGATTCATAATTCTTCTTCGGAGGGTGTCAGTACAACTTGCTCTTCAAATGGCAATTTGGCGACATCCATATTAAGACTGTAGTTTCACTTCACCCTTTTACCTTTAGTACTGAACTGGACAGAGGGGTCGTGAAGGTGTGCAGAGACGTATGTACACACATCTTCTCCACGGCACTGTGCAAACAGTGAATGGTTGGCAACAGTCCAATTCTGTCTGTAGACCACTTGACAGAAACTCTAATTCAGTCCTACAAGGGAGTACTATGCCCCTCACACACACACAAGAAACAAGAACTTTATATGCTGATATAAAACAATCTCCAGGACAGACAGTTAAGTTAAAAAAAAAAGCAACTTGGGGAGCAGCCCTAGGAGAGTGACCAAGAGACTGAGGCAAAGGCCAGAGGCAGGCTCACTATATACCATATTTTTCAGACTATAAGACACACACCCCAATTTGGGAGGAAGTAGGGGTGCATCTTATAGTCCGAATGTAGCTTACCTGGCTCACTGTGGGGGGGAGGAGCAGCGCTATGTTATTTATGTTATTACATATTTTACGACATTTTTTGCTTCCAAATTTTTTCCCTATTTTCCTCCTCTAAAACCTAGGTGCGTTTTATGGTCCAGTGTGTCTTATAGTCCTAAAAATATGGAACCTTCTTTCTCATCTGTATTTTTACCATGTAAATGTATTGTCCCAAAATTCTTTTTTAAAAAGAGATATGTTAACATTTTATTATTCTAAAGTTCCTACCAATAAGTAACAAAAAAAACCCTATTTAATAGAAAGGTGTCCCAAAACATAGAGACAATTCATCAAAGAATTACAAATGGACAATATATTCTAAAATGTTCAATCTCATTAGTAAGTACAAACCACAACTAGATGCCACTTTTCTCCCAGCAGATTGGAAGAAACTTAAGATGGGTAATCTTTCATCTTCAAGGCTGGTAATGACATGAGAAAGTGGGCACCTGTGTATACTACTGGTGGGAAGGACAACAGAACAACTTTTTATTGAGAATTTGTTGGGACTTTAAATATAAACTAAATATTTCCCTTCCTGGATTTTTAAAAACAACTTTATTAAAATATAATCACATACTACGCAATTCACCCACTTACAGTGTACAATTCGACAATGTGCAACCATTGCCACAATCAATTTCAGGACATTTTCATCCCCCTAAATAGAAATCCTGTACCCCTTCCTTATCGCCCTCTCTCCCATCTTCCCACCCTCTCCAGCCTGAGGCAACCACTAATCTATTTCTATATCTGTAGATTTGCTTATCCTGGACATTTCATATAGAAGGAATCATACAATATGTGGTCCTTTGCATCTGACTTTAACTTAGCATAACATTTTCAATGTTATCCCTGCAGTATCCTTTTTATGCCTGATTAATATAATTCATTTATCCATTTTTTGGTTCGTGGGCATTATCAGTAACATTGCGATGGACACTGGTGTAAAAGTTTTACATAGACATGTTTTCAATTCTCTTGGGAGTGGAACTGCTGGGTCACACAGTAACTCTATGTTTCAATGTTTGAGTAGCAGCTAGACTATTTTCCAAAGAGGCTACATCATTTACATTCCCATCAACAGTGTACGAGTTTTCCAATTTCTCCACATCCTCACCAACCCTTGCTCTTTTTCATCTCTTTATTAGACATCCAAGTAGTTTTGATTTGCATTTCCCTGATGACTAATGATGTCAAGCATGTTTTCACGTGCTTATTGGCCATCTGCATAATTTCTTTGGCAAAATGTCTATTCGGATCCTTTGCCCATCTTTCTGTGTAAATTTAAAACGTGAGCACCAGCAATCCCTCTTGTACAAATACAGTACACGGAAATAACTGCATGCATGGTAAAGCTGTATATATAAAGATACTGCCTGGAGCACTGGTTATAACTGTAAGATGTTGGAAACCTACATTTCTACTAATAAGGAATTGTTATAAATTAACTATGGCAGAGTATGCATGGAATACTATAAAAGGATAAGATGTCTAAGTCATATTAAGTGGTTTTTTAAAGCTGCAGACCAAATATACAGAATCACCCCACTTTGTCCAAGACAAAAAGCACTACGTTTCCAGGTGTCTATAGATACACATTTCTAAGCAGAAACAAAAGTCCTGGAGTGTCTCTTTCTAAAACTAAGTAGGCATCTTGTGGAGGAGCAGGGAGTGGTTGAAAGGGGATGAAGATCTTTGCCTTCTTCCTCCATATAACTTTTTAAAGTAAAGTAATATACTTTCCATACTTTTCAAATGAGTCTTCTCAAAATTCTCAGAGAAGAAATAGGTGTCTGTTTTTACTCACCACCATACCCCTCATGCCTAAGTGTCACTTAACACTTGGCATCAATACATACTCAATGAAAATGTGTTGAATAACTAGATAAAGAGCAGATATTTCTGTGTAGTTTATACTTCAGTGACATGATTTGCCACTTGCTGTGACTAAATTATAAGCTAATAAAGAAGGTCACTTACGTGATTCAGAAAATACTGCACAATTATTTCATGGCCAGCCGCAGCTGCTTCCATCAAAGGAGTGAATCCATATATTGGTTCCCTGTAAGACAGAGTCCAATAATTAGCATGAGAAAAATTTTGCCAGGGAGATGCTTCCCTGATATAGACAAAACCCATGCACTTCGGGATGATGGGATGTAAAGTCACCCATCATCCCTAAGTGCAGAGGTCTCCCTCTTGCAAGAATTAATGGGGAGAGATAAGTTCTTACCAACACATCAGCCTTATGAACCCTTCTAGTTTCTAGCACAGCTGTAGTCTTTTGTCCTAAAGACACTATCTTCACTGCTTCTAAGCTGTTTGAACACAACACATGACATCAATCAGGGCTGTGGACAGTGCCAGCTGGATGCTGTGTTGAAAGTATTATCATCATCACATTCTTTAGATGATAACCCTTCCAGCTTATAAAACTCATGACTATTTCAAAACATTGCATCACCAAATAAGGCCAAAAGGAGAAAGGAATTAGCACCTAATGTATGTCGATTAACTACCATTCATTATGTTAGGCCCCTGGCTTATGAAAGAACATGTAATTCTTCTAACTCTATGACATAGGTATTGCTACCCTCAGTTTTCAGATAAAGAAACCAAGGCTCAGAGAGCTTGAAGTGCTGCATCCAGCGTCATGTGATGGATGTATAAAAAAGCCAGGATTATCCCTAGACCTCCTGCACCTGGGTGTGACTGTTTCTTCTGTCCGTTTGTCTGAATTCCTGATATAGATGGGGGCTACTCTGACTCTGGCCTACAGCTGCCTCTACAGCTGCCCTCCTTAGAGTTAGACACGACCATACCCACTCCTTTGGCCATTTAAGACTTGATAATCACCTCACGTTGGCATTTGCCCCACTGTCCAAAAGGAACTTCACCATCTGCTGATGTCCTGCACTGGTGCAGTGGAAGAGTGCGGTCCAGCCTTGAATGTCCTTCATTTCTAGCTCAGCACCTTGCTTCGAGAGAACACAGAATGCTCATTACAGCCTTGTCTCCTCTGCGTGGAATAGGCGCCCTCTGGGCAATCATGCTGAAAGAATCAAAGTGATTACACGCACAAGTACACCATGGCCTACAGTGGTTCACACCTCTGCCAGATTAGCCAGGAGCCCCTCAGATTTCTGCGCCTGAGGCCCCTCGTAGCTCACCTGGAGGAGAAAGTAGGCGATGCTCTCGTTGCCACAGCTGGAAGCCAGCATCAGTGGAGTCTGCCCTTCTGGGGTCGGCACATTCACACTCACCCCCGCCTCGAGCAGCAGGTGCACGATGGTATCGTGTCCAATGTAGGAGGCATACATCAGCGGGGTCCAGCCACCACCATTCTTCTTATTCAAATCTAACTCTCTCCTAAACAAACGCAAGATATGCTAGACACAACCAGCCATCTCACATGTGGGGTTTACCAGAGCCGGAGTTGAGACCAGGGGTGCTGCTGAACATCCTACAGTGCACAGAACAGCTCCTACCACAAAGAATGACCTGGCCCAGATTGTCAGTAATGCTAAGGTTAAAAAATCCTGACCTGGAGCCTGACTACCTTCCACCAACAGATCAGTGTGCTAGTCCAGTGCCGGTGGGAGAGGAGAGACAATGGAGTCCCACTGTAACTGATTTCTCCTTTGTCACCTCACCCTACAGAAACGTTCTTCGAGCCCTGGCTGGGTAGCTCAGATAGTTAGAGCACTGTCTCAATACACCAAGGCTGTGGGTTCAATCCAGAGTCATGCGCATACAAGAAATCAACCAATGAATGAATGCATAAATAAATGGAACAAATCTCTCTCTCCCCCCTGCCACCCTCTCTAAAATCAATTAAAAAAAATTCTTAGAAAATCCACAACAAAATAATCCCATCTTTCTACTTTTAATTAGAATTCTAGAAAACATTTCCCACAGGAAAAAAAAATGTGGGCTTCCCAACCCAGAGGTTGTGGTTAGGGTATGGAAATAACATCCACTTCCAGAAACATCCTGTGCAGTTCATGCCCCACTGCCTTTCCTCTTCCACAGTCCTTGCCTCCAGTGGAGCTAACAACTGCCAATCAATCCACACAGTTTGTGCCTCTCGTAGGTCTGCACATATTAAACCATACGATTCGCCAGCATCTTCTATTGACTCTGGGATGCCCACATAGCCACTCTGAAATGTTCTGATTCCAGGGATGCAGTAACAACTGCTGGCTGGGAGAGCCACATGAAGACCAATTTGTACTCACCACATGACCTTCACTTGATGGAGCACTCAATTCCACATGGAGAGGGAAGGACCTGACCCTTGGCAGAACATATCTGAGGCTCTTACACCTCCCATCAGCCCAATCTCCCATTCTGTTGCCTCCAACTCCTTGGGTTCTTGGTCTGTTTTACTGCGAGCAAGCCTTGGGCTCAGCCAGCATCACAATCCCAATCAAAACACCAACACTTCCCTCTTCTCCTCTGTGGGGCTGTTCTGAACTGTGCATTTTACTAGCACAACCTGAGTCTGAAAAGCCCAAGAATACTAAAAGAGCAGATTTATAACTGGGGTCATAGTGACCCTGTGATAGGATGTGCTGCCTGAGTACCCAGCTACACAACTGCAAGGCCACCTGGTGCGGGAGTACAAAGGGTTATCCCTCACCACAATGCACTTGTATTCGAGTGGTCAGGTTTTTATAAGCGATGGCTCTGACTTGGGAACTGGAGATCTGAGAGTTTAATGAGGCTCAGCTTAGGTACCTCAGGAACTGGAACAGGCATATGTCAGTATGGACATAGATCATTTTTCTGGGTTATTGATGAGAAATGGGAATGTGAGCACAAAGTGTGGTGGACATAAGGAGGCGGAAGCAAGGAGACAGATTCTTTTCCAAAAATTACAGTACACATCACATTGTACCACAAACGACAAATAGCCAATGGCCACGGATGCTGTATCTGGACTTAATATATGTGTAACATTAGTAAAAACGGTGTGGCAGTTAATTCAGATGGCAATCCTCCAAAGGGACAGATAAACCTTGCTGCCTCCTCCTCTATGGCAGAAGCTGGAGGGGAGAGAAGGGCACAAGGGATTAAAATGAATCCCTTGGGAAAAGGTCACAGGGCATCATTTTCTATCTTTGTTTTAATTTGAGCATTTCTACAATTAGTGAAAACAATAAAATTACTCTGGTTAAAGTAGCCAAAAATGTTTCTGGCTAAGCCTATGAAAAAAATTTAAACTAGATTTTTCTTCCTGGGAATAAAAACTGCCTTCCTTGTTAGAGTCCAGCATAAATCATTACTGACAACTGCCTAATAGAAGCAGATTAATCTATGCCATATGTATTAAATGTCTACAAGGTCTGGCTAGCTTACTAATATCTCCACATGGGAGCTAAAGCCACTAATGAGGCAAGATTTCTTACCGCTGCACACATTCCTTCACCACTTCATACTGGCCGATGGAAGCTGCTGTGTGGAGATCCAAGGGGACAGCCAACTCCTCCCAGTTGACCTGTGCACCCAGCCCGTGCCACATGGACAAGCTGCGAGTCAGGAGTTCTGGCTCACTGGCTTCATCGCTGAGCTCCGACATTACTGTGGAGGGTTAGGTCTTTCTTTTCTGGTGGTTCTAGGGAATGAAACAGGATGGTCATATTCCTACCCACAGTAGGCAGCTATGTCACTCTCTTAGCAGTCTGCTACCCAATGCAGTCGATTCCTTCCTGGGACTGACTTAGAAAACTTCCTCTCATTACATATTGTATGATTTTGTGAGTCTGTCATGAGACAGAAAAAGAAGAGCAGGTGAGTCGTAAACTGCCGTGTGTATTTTTCGTCATTAATCCACAGGTCCCACATTCTAGAAAGGGTGTTTGCCAGGAACCCAAGAAATTAGACAACTTCTTAGATGGTCGATAAAGAAATTCTGATTGGGTCAATGAACAAAATCAGTTCTTGGGTGTGGTGGGAAAGAACCCTAGACCTGAAGTTGTACCTTAGCTCTACTACTTAGCATCTCCCATCCCCAGTTCCTCATGGTCTAATGGATACATAGTATCTCAAAGGGCTGTTGTTAAAGACACATAGGAAAAAAAAAGACACATGGAATAATGGTTAAACAAATAGTGGCACATTCATAGGATGGAATGCTCCTGGCAATAAGCAGAAAGAACAGTTGATATACACAACAATGGAAACAATCTCAAACACACTGGGCTAAAAGCCAGACCCAAAGGCTACTTACTGTGTGATTCCATTTATATGACTTTCTTGGAAAGATAAAATCAAAGGGTTGGAGTGACAGATCAGTAGTACCAGAGGTGTGGGATATACGGCACAAAGGGAAAGCAAGAGGGAATTTGGGGGTGATGACCTGTTCTACATCTTAACTGGTGAATATGTGACTCTATGTATTTATCAAAACTCATTTACTGAATTTAAGTTCTTTTAAACAAATAAATTTTGAACAAAATTGAGAGCCTCTACCATACAAACTAGGATGTGATTGGTGTTCAGTAAATATTAAGCGACTAGGAATGTACCTATGTATCCCTTGAAAGTGGGAGAGAGGACAACACCTGGAAGAAAAGTCTGTGATTATGAGAGCCCTTTATTCTGGGATTCCTACCCAAATTAAGGCCAAGTCATTAGCTTCCTAGTGGAACTCTCAAGTCCAGGAGTGACATCTGTCTCCTGTTCTATTCTGGGTGGGAAAGGACAAAGAAGCAAATGTAGAAAAGAGCAAGGGAAGGCCACATCCAGTTCAGATGGCCCAAAGGTACCAAAGCAGTTCATAGATGCCACTTGGACCTCAGTCTCTATTAAAGAATCTTTCCAAGCTCCAGATGACAGCCAAGATGGCCAAACAACAAACGAGCTGCCAAGCTGGAGGACAAAAGAACTGGAGGACCTTTGCAAGACTATGTGTACATGTGATGGGGCCTACACAGGCAACCAAATTCAGAGCAAAGCCCTACCTTCCAGATTCACCATCTTTCACCTTGGCAGGCCCTAAGTTCAAGAAACTCTCACTTCACAGGTGAGCACCCTCAACCTGAGCAGTCCTGGCCCACAGAGCCTGGATTTAGAAGCTAAATAAGCTGTATCAGTTCAGAGCTATTTTCAATGCACCCCTCAAGCGTTCTGTGAGTATGTCTCTTCGACTGCAAATGCCTCCTCTCCGGTGGAGGCCCTGTTGTCTGTCCTTTTATTGCATGCTCACCTGTTTGACACCCTGAAGAGTGCGCAGTGACAATCAGAATCAGACTCTGCTCAAAGAGCTTACGAAGAAAGGATCTGGATGTGAAAAGACCATAAAGTTATTATTACTTCCTTTCACCCTGCCACATGCCAGACACTCTACAATGATGGGGTATTCGCTATACAATGTCTTTTGCATATCACTTCCAGATGGGGTATTCGCTATACAATGTCTTTTGCATATCACTTCCAGAACTTATCTCCAGGAAGTAGTACTAGGAATGAGACCTTTTTTCACTCTACCTTTTGGTTCTGCCCATTTTGTAAAATACTAAGTATCCACTACTTTAAAAACAAGCAAAATGTTAACTTAAAAAAAAAAGATGACGGTGGTGGTGGACTATTACGCCCACAGGGAAGAGATAGCTGTAAAGCCCCAGGGCATTCCCTTCTCACGCAGGCTCCTGGGCCCTCGCCCAGGCCGAGGTACCCCAACTTCGTTCTCAAATCCTGGGGAGGTCCCTAGAGAAGAATCCGAGCACCTACAGCACTGACGTCCCTTGGCGCCTCCTTCCAGCAACCCTACGTGGAAAGTGGCTTTATCATGCCCGCTCCATAGCTGCAGAAGCAGAAGCTACGAGTCACAAACTCATACGGTAACAAACCGCTGGGCTGGGGAGCCCCGCTGCGGGCTACGCAGGTGGACAGCAGGTGCCGGCACCAGGCAGGGCCGGTCCGCCGTGGACCCTACCTAGGCTGGACTTTCGGCCCTGGACCTCCTTTGGCCCGCTGCCGCCGCCAAAGCCGCGTCCGCTCGCTGCCGCTCTCCTTCGGCGGGGCACCCTGTTCTCCGCACGCGCCTGAGACCCCTCCACGCCGGGTGCCGCCGAGACCAGACACCGCGGCCCAGCTCCCGCCCCGGAAGTGGTTGCGAAGGCGCGGGGCACGCCGGGACGCTCGCGAGTCCGCGGGGCAGCTCCGGCCGTTAGTCCAAAACCAAGACCGTCCTGTCCGCTAGCCCGCTTTCTGTATGACACCCACAGCAGCCAATGAGCAGGGCGAGGTCGCTTATCCGGTCCCTTCACTGACCGTAGGAACCAATCCTATTGCAAGAGAGGGAAGAAGCTCCGAGCCGCGAAGGAGGCAGTGGGGAGTTGTTGCGGGGAGCGGTTGGTAGTACAGTAAAGTAAAACTCTGCTGAGGGGAGATTCTGACGGTGGTGAAAGTGTCAGTGGTTGCGCCGCGGCCCAAGGGGGCGAACGAGACCGGTGGGACGCGCTGGAGACTGTTTGTAGCGCCGTCAGGAGGCGGAGACCTGAGGTGAGGGGCCCCGGGCCTGCCGCAGTTGCAGAGATAAATGTCGAGAATTGTACGGGACGCGGGGAAGGGGAGGCTGGGGGTATATGAGAGGACAGCTGCTGGGTTTTCGCAGTTTCCGAACTTTAGCTTTTAAAAGCCTGACCCGGGAGGTCGTTGGCGTCTAGTTGTCATAACAACTACCCGCTAGGGGCGGGACTTTGGGCGGGACTAACGAGCCAAGAAACAGACCTGCTTTAAGAGTTGGGATTTGGAAGAGACTTGAGCTATCGGTTCGTTATGGTTTTGGTTTAACCCTCCTCTGCTGAATAAGCCAAGCCCCTCAACTTGGCATTCAGGACCCTGCACGATCTGGTTTGTTTTTGTCCAAAGACTAGCGACTGACACCTTCCTCCCCCAGACATGTTGGGCAGTTTTCAGTGAGACACTGTTCCTCCCGCAACGCGTAGTGCCTTTCCCATTCCCTGAATTGTCTTGTCCACCTGAAGAAATCATCTGAATCTCCGGTAGCCCCCTTCACCTACGAGATTCTGTTGCCCTCAGATCTGCCGTGTAGAGAACACTCCGTGTTGTTGTATCTACCGTCTGTGTCCACACCCTCCAGTTCTCAGTTCTGGGTGCACCAAGTTCCAGTCTCCGCTCACGCTCCTGCTGCTACACTGATGAGAGCCCTGAGCTAGAATGATAGCCAGCTAGGGCTGAAACAGTAGTGTTCGCTTCCTATTTAATAAGCCCGGCTACCTCTCAGGCTGCAAGGAAACTCCAGGACTGGCTCTTAAGGACCATCATCCCACTTTCCTAAAATCTCCTCGACCCTTAAGGGGCAGGGCCTTTTCCTTTTAGACTGTGGAATACAAAAGGGGGGCATCTAAGTATAAGGGGTTAATTTGACTCAAAACAAAAAACTGGGGACTCCAAAATGTCTCTAGTCCAGTGATTTTCAATGACTGTGTCACAAGAATTTTTAAAACATGCAATACCTGACTATAGTTAGAGATACTGACCTCTTTTCCCTTAGACTATCAAATTAAAAAAAAGACAACAGCCAACAGAACAATAGTGGTCCCTTGTGAATGAATCAAAATTATACCTATTTTTGTCAGATCAGTAAAAAATATGTTTTTTGATATGCTGCAGAATTTTATATGTGCCGTGAGATGAAAAAGGTTGAAAATCTCTGCTCTTATTCCTTTGTAGGGAGCAGTAAAAAATAGTGGGGCCTCAAATCCCCTCTAATTTTGTTACAAATTCTGTCTGTGCCATTTACTAACAATATAATTTCTCTAAGCCTATAAAATGTAGATAGTAGTGTCTGTGTTACATGAGAGATATAGTTTATGTATATCCATACACATATACATGTATCATTCTATATATCATACCTATGTACATATATCATATATTAATACATATCTCTATTATCATACAATATCATTACATTATATACCTATATCTACAGGCTCCATACTGCACTGCACTGCACACACATTTACACAACTCAGGGCACAGTGCCTGGCACTCAGTAACAGGAACCTGCAGAACTAGATGGGAAATGGGATGGAAGGTCTGTGAGTTCATTTTCATCCCCAGCAAAGTAGTAGATGCTATGAAAAGGCAGCCCCCCTCCAGCTCTTTACCCTTTGTCCCTGGATCCTGTCACCTCACCCTACATTGTCTCCAGGGTTCCTTGGACGATGGTACGCTGAGAAGCTTCCCTTGAGCCCAGGCTCTCATGGCATCCCAAGACAAAGATGTGGGGCCCTCACTGCCCTCTCCTTGGGCCTCGCAGATGGGGCCCTGGGAGGCCATTCTTGAGGCTGCCAGGGAGCAGCTTCCATCTCTGGACTCGGATTCCTCTTCGGTAAGCAAGCGCCTTGTTCCCATGTTGTCCTGGGCCTTGACTGCTCTTCCTGTCCCATGACAAATGTGGTGCTGATGCAAGGACAGCTGTGGAGCTTATCAGCTCTGCATTCATTGTCTCTGTTTTTGTTCTCTGAATACATTTACTGGTGCTCAGCACCCTCCCAGCCTATAGCAGTGACCCCAAATCACAAGTGGAGGATTCCTCCAGGGGCTTATCACAATGCACTGAAATGGTAGCCACTGTCAATGGTGGTCCTGGCCAAGTCCTGGTCCAACAGAGAGTCGAGAACAGCACCTCAGCAGAGGAGGAAGAACAGGAGCGTCAGCACCAAGCAGACCTTGATCCTCATCTTCACTCAGTTGCTAATTTACCGTGTAATCTGCGGGCAGTTTCTATACCTGGGTCAACCTCAATTTCTTTGCTGCAAAATGCAGATAGTTATCACTGGCACAAATTTGGGAATCTGTATATAAAGTGTCTGGTGCAGAGTGTGTGCTCAAGATAGTTAACAAAATCACCATATGCTAGCATTTTTCTCATCCTGGCAAACACCCCAGCTTGCTATAAGAGTTATGGACTGAGGCTTCACATTGTAAATTGTTGTAACAATTAAATAATCTACATTGGAGCACAGTGTTTGGCATGTGGTGAATGTATAATACATAGTAATTTTCTTATTGATCACATGCAGTTCATCAGCAAGCATTTAAGGAGCCCACTCAGCCTCTTCAAGGACCAGGAGCACTTTGTAACAATATACACTGTAGTGGGCCCTGCTTCACCATGATGGTAATTGTGTTTCTACAATAGTTTCTGCCGACTAAGAGAATGTTGGGTGACAAAAGGGGCTTTGAATTCAGGCTTATATAAGCTGTATCAACTTCTCCACGTGGTGGAAATTAGGTGTGTGCACATATGTAAGACATAACAGCAACCCGATGAACAGAGCAAAGTGGGCAATGCACAAGGTAGCTCTTCAGCAGTGGGTGTCAGCAGGGTGTCTCCACAGGTTGGAGCTGGGCGTTTAGAGACAGGGCCAAGGTTTTAGAAGGAACAAGTCAGGTTTGGGTCTTAACCTGTGGCATCTGCAAAGATAAATGTGACACAGCTTAGACCTCAGGGATCCTCCAGTGCACAGCGAGGCTAGTAGGGAGTAAATAATGCAACCTCAGGGTCTTTTCACATCTTCAGTCTCATTTGCTCTCATCTTCAGAATACACCTGTTGAGGTGGGCTGGCAACTATAAGTGCCCCCGCCCCTGTATTAGAGGCCACAAACCAAGGCTGATGTCATGGGGGGAGGTTGGACTCTGCTCTTTCAGCTACCACTTTAGTGCCCAGTTCATTCAGCACCAGGCATTAACTGAACACTTTATGTATGCAGTCTTAAGGATACAGGTACATGCAGAATTAGGAGCACTGGATCTCACCTCCACGAGGTGGTGCTGCTGAGCCCACTTTTCTAAAATCATCCCCAGGAACCAGCACGGGGCAAGAACCTTTGGGAGAGAAATAATCTCTGTGTTCCCCAGCAGCAGCGTGGGCCAGGGTAGGGTAGGGCAAGGTCAGGTGGGGCTCCAGGCCCTTCTGGCTATGCCCACTACCGCATAATCCCTAAGGTCTCTGGTCTGTCCACAGTCAGACTGTGAAGAGGAGGAACTGTTCATCTTCCAGCGAAATCAAACCACCCTGATTCCAGACTTGTCGGAGGAGCTGGCTGAAGAACCTGACAGGGGCTGGGTGCCTCCTGCTGACAGAGCTCCTCCTGAGGTCTGTGGAATGCAGGCTCTAGGGATCCAGTATGCTGGGACCCTGCTGGCAGAACGGGGTGTGGGAGTGGGTACCCATGGCTCTCACTGGACTTAACAGCAGTGCAGGTCAGAGAGGTTAAAACTCCTAGTCCAGCCTCTCTGCACACCAGGCCTTTTTCTGGGCACAGCCGAAGAAATTCAGGCACCAAACATCTACCCGCCTTGTGCATAGTACTTTTCCCGGAGCCCAGCACACTTAGGACCAGGGGTGGGGACTCAATTTCTCTCATTTTGTCCCTGCTATATACTCTTGACCCCCAGCTATACTCAGTTCTCAGTGCGAGCACTGACACAGGATCATCTTACAGAGCCAGGGCATGTCTCCTCCCTATCACCATGACAGAAGTCATCCACTCACTCAGCAATGCCTAAAAGTATGTCTGAAAGAACCCCAAACAGGAGAAATTCCCCCGGGCTGCCAAGACCCCTGGTTAGTTCAGGTGGAATGATGTCTTTGTGACTTTATTTTGTTTTCTTCATTTCTACAATTACCTCAGCGATTCTGGAAGTTTTTTTTTTAAATCTGAGGTGGGAAAGTCTGTACCAACTCATGGGGGTGGAACTGTGGGCTTGCTGTGGAGTCAAAAGGCCTGGGCTTCATCTTGTCCATCCCTGAATAGCTGTGTGGCCCATTCATGGTGGCCAAAGGCGGAAGCAACCCACGTGTCCATCAACAAACAAAATAGGTAGACAAAATGTGGCTAGCCATATAGTGGAATGTTATTTAATCCACAAGAAAGAACGAAGTCCTGACATGTGCTACAATATGAAGTTCTTGGAAACACTGAGCTAAGTAAAAGGTCACAAAAGGACAGGTGGGGTATGTTCTACTTCCATGACACAGCTAGAATAGGCAAGTTCTTAGAGACAGAAAATAGATTATAGTCTACCAGGGGCTGGGTGAGGGGAGGTACAGAGTTTCTGTTTGGGGGATGGAAG